TCTTGCTTTTGTGGGATTGCCATTAGACGGCACCTGCAGGAAGCTGCCAGCAAAAGAAGGTGAAGGTTCAACAGGAAGCAGGAGTGTTTACATTAGGGCTGCAACAACGAATCGATAAATTCGATGAAAATCGATTACTAAAAGCGTTGGCAACGAATTGCGTCATCGATTCGTTGTGTCGCACAACTCTTCCAAAAGCGCCCCCCCCCCTTCCCGCCCGCCGTTGCGCGCAGACCAGAGCAAGTCAGATCAGCGTGAGGGAGAGCCGGCAGATCAGCGCGAGGGAGAGCCAGCAGACTTGCGCTGCTGCGAACCGGTTCCGCATTGTCGCGCAGCGATCCAGGCAGCTGCTTCCAGCGCACGGTCCATTCTCAAAGTGGCGCAACCAAAAAACTATAATTAGCACACGATCGTTCATGTCCGCACATGTTCTCTATTTTCTGTCTTATTTGTGCCTGAAGCTCGCTACTGCGGAGCTCATCACCTGTGCTGTGGTGATGTCACCTCACGCAGCATCGAAAACGCGCTCTGCGCTTTTCGGTCAGGAGATCCCTTTGATCTGCTCAAAAGTAACTGATGAGGTGAAAAGGTAAGAATCCAGGCAACAGATTTTCTGGAGAATTATGAGGAGATGCAGGAAGATGAGAGACAGACAGGACAGGAAAATAGTTCAATAAAAACAAGAAAACAAAACAAAGTGTTGAAAAGTCAAATGTAGGTAGATTTATCTCCACTACACGTTTTTACCAGTAAAAAACAATAAGTTATACACATGTCATAATTATACATCTGATACAATTCAGATCACCTTCAAAACTCAGTCACACACCCAGGGCCGTTTCAAGACATTTTGGGGGCCAAGGCAAAATGCCCCCCCCCAATAACTGGGCTCCCCAGAAGCCTCTGTGTAATTCATGCCCTCTCCAGTAGTGTTAGTTATACGGTGTTTATAAAAGCTCCTCAGACATTACTGACATGTTCTAATATTATCAGATGAAAAACTAAATTATCAGACATGCTGTCTCATCTGCTTCTTTTATAAACTTGCAAAAAGTAACAAAACCATTTGAAAGCCACTATTTGTGGATTCTCTGAAAGTTTCCATGGAGTGTGTGACAACTTATTTTTTCATTGATCCTATCGTCTAATCTCACAGCTGAAACAAGCATCCTTAATAATCTGTGCACAGGAAGCTTACCGATGCTGTAGTAAAACAAAAGGTATAATAATTTATTATTAATAAAACCTTGTTGCAGCACTAAAGCAGAAAAATGAGATTTTGCAGTAAATATGCTAAATATTTACATATGAATTGTTTTAGAGCCCTTTTATTGGCAGAATCTGATATTAATTTAGTTCTTACAAAAAATGGTCCCAACATGGTTTGTGTGGCGTTGCCATAGTGTGACGTCATAGGCACAGATCCCCTGTCCTCTTGTTTGGAAATGGAAATATGGTCACCCTACATTAAACAAACTGTCCACCCGGGCTTTTGCGCTGCACAGAGACGCTTCGCTGCCTACGACTGAACGTCAGTTGAGAGTCAGTCTCATGCAGACTGACCAATGAAGAGAGGGCCTCAAGTTAAGACCCTCTCCTCATTGGTCAGTCCACACGAGGTGGGTCAAAGGTTACTCTGGGCGGGTTACGTGTTGTCAGGCATTCAAGTATTGAGTATATTTACTGCATATTACAGTAAAATATTCTGTATGTGACCACATTATGGTGATCCTTGGGTCGTGATGATGGAGCCCTTGAATATTGTTGCCCAGGGTACAACAAAGTGTTAATCTGGCCCTGGTTCCGCCGTCACATTCCCGCAGAAACTGGTTGATCACACCGGGGCCAGACTACTAGCATGTGGTTTTACAACCACAATGTCCTCAGAAGCAAAAACGCTTTTAAAAGGGAGGGAGGAGTCCTAACTGTTGCTGCAGGCATGTTGTGTGAGAGTGCAGTTATATACTGGTTAATATATTTTTGGGTTCAGTTGCTTTCATGTGGCCTAATGTGAGTCTATTTGGGATCATTGGAATGATCAGCAGCATTTCTTGATGTGACTTTATGGCAGTTGCCCAGGGCATCATCGCAAGGAGGATGGCATTCATTTACTTTTGTTTTATTTGGTATTTTTTCAGTCATTTTTGGAAATGGTGATCAATTTTGATTAATTCACAGCCTATGTTTAATTACATTTAAAATAAATGTCAACAGATGAGATCAAACAAAACAGATGAGAATTGCCCTTAAGCTGTTTAACTTGGACCAAGCATTTTAGGTCACAGATAGATGTAGCTTAGGGTCTCTGTCTATACACCTTATAAGACAATTTAGGTGATGGCATGTTGTTTTTCTGCTATTGAACTGTTTTCTAATAATGTTGTGTTAAATAAAGTGAAGGAAGGAGAGAAATAACATTTCCCTAGCAGTTTTTAAAAATTTCCCCATGTAATCCGATTAATCGATTAATCGTGTCGAGACCCCATCCGATTAATCGATTATCCAAATAATCGTTTGTTGCAGCCCTAGTTTACATCACCACATGGGCAGCAGCTGTTTCAGGGGTTCTCTGTCTTTGTTTCTTATTGGCTGTACTCATTTAGCAGGGATTAGCCATGCTGAGTCAGCAGCTTTCATTCAGGCTTCTGCAGGTCATCTTCAGGAGGACACGATGAACCTGGGAACAGATCTTGAGGAATTAAGACACGCCTACCTAAAAGCATGCATGTATAAAAAACCAGCTAATTCTTAGAGGGATAATAAGTAACTTTTGTCATATTTTTAAATCATTTTCTTAAGCCAGTATGTGCAAAAATTAACCTTTACAGGGTTAATGACATGCCACTCAGGCCCCACTGCCTTCTGTGGCAAGAATGTCGCACTTGCAACTTCAGACTGGTGGGCCGCCCCTTGTGGACTTAGAAAAAATGGAGCTGACAGGCCAGCGTTGCAGTCTGCTTCTAGCACGTTTAATTTAGTGATGGATCATTCCTGTAGACACTAATGAAGGCTGAGGAAACACTTCAGCTGTTAGATTAAAGTGTTAAAAGACGAACGCACAGAAAGGAGATAAGTTTCGCTTTTGGTTTTACTAAACAGACACTAGGGGGTGCTAGAAGCACCCAGTGAGAGTTGGACTCCGCCAAGGCTGCCCTTTGTCACCGATTCTGTTCATAACCTTTATGGACAGGATTTCTAGGTGCAGCCAAGGTTTGGAGGGCATCCGTTTTGGTGGCCTGAGGATCAGGTCTCTGCTTTTTGCAGATGATGTGGTCCTGTTGGCTTCATCAGAACGTGATCTTCAGCTTTCGCTGGAGCGGTTCGCAGCCGAGTGTGAAGCAGCTGGGATGAGAATCAATCCTCTAAATCTGAGACCATGGTCTTGATTCGGAAAAGGGTAGAATGCCTTCTCCGGGTCAGGGATGAGGTCCTGCCCCAAGTGGAGGAGTTTAAGTATCTCGGGGTCTTGTTCACGAGTGAGGGAAAACTGGAGCGTGAGATCGATAGGTGGATTGGTGCTGCATCTGCAGTGATGCAGGCGTTGTACCGGTCTGTCGTGGTGAAGAGAGAGCTGAGTCAGAAGGTGAAGCTCTCGATTTACCGGTGGATCTACGTTCCTACCCTCACCTATGGTCACGAGCTTTGGGTAGTGATCGAAAGAACGAGATCACGGATACAAGCGGCCGAAATGAGTTTTCTCCGAAGAGAGGCTGGGCTCTCCCTTACAGATAGGGTGAGAAGCTCTGTCATCCGGGAGGGGCTCGGAGTAGACCCGCTGCTCCTCCACGTCGAGAGGAGCCAGTTGAGGTGGCTCGGGCATCTGGTCAGGATGCCTCCTGGACGCCTCCCTGATGAGGTTTTCCGGGCACGTCCAACCGGGAGGAGACCTAAAGGTAGACCCAGGACACGGTGGAGGGACTATGTCTCTCACCTGGCCAGGGAACGCTTTGGGATTCCCCCGGAGGAGCTGGCCCAAGTGGCTGGGGAGAGGGAAGTCTGGGCCTCTTGGCTGAAGCCTGGTTTATGCTTGACGCATTCACTTTCCGCGCGGTGATGCGGCTCGCGGATGGAACGCGCTTCACAACTCGCAGCGTTTATGGTTCGTGCGGCTCGTCTCTGCGGTGAGCCAATATTTTCCCTAACTGTAGGGGGCAGCATGGAGCTCTACGGCATGCATCCAACACTACACCATAGTAGAAGTAGAAATTACTGTTTACAACACGGCATTTCAGCATTTTATAACGGCGTCCTCGTCTTTTCCGACAGTGCGAGCTATTTCTCTCCAAGAATTATTAACAACATGTTGATCACGGTGATCTCTGAGAGCTGAATCATACTAATGTCTGTATTTACCAACCTCTGCCATACTAGTTCTTGCCGGTCCGCCATGTTTTTCCGCGTCCGTCTGTCCGCGTGGTTAGAAATTTTCCTAGGTGCGCGTTGTGGAAATTTTGGGCCGTGCGGAGGGGCGTGGTTGTTAAAATGACGCAATTTCGCCGTGCGGACCTCCCGGACGCGTCAAGCATAACCCAACCTTTAGGCTGCTGCCCCTGCAACCCGACTCTGGATGAGTGGATGAAAATGGATGGATAAACAGACTCTAGGGGGTGCTAGAAGCAAGCCAAAACTGCCAAGTGTGCCTTAAACAAATCAACATCAGTTTGGAAGATTTACGTCATGTTTCTGCGTGTTTACACAATTTTCTGCAGACTCGTCCCTTTCTTCTGCACGACTCGTGAAACAGAAACTCTGATCGTCCCATTAGTGATTTGCCTCGTTTCTTTGAGTAAATGTCTCATTAACCAAAGCAGCAGCTTGGTTTGCAGCGTCCTACTGTAGACAAATGTGCCATTCAGAGGTTTTGTCTAGTGATACTAAATATTTCTGTTTTAAAACCAAGCAAACACATAAAAACACATTTTGTGACTCTTCTTCTGTGAACCTCACACCTTCTTGTTTTATTGCCTCATTCTGTCTTTTCACTCACTCTCCTGTTTCAGATGCAAGTTTTTCAGCCTGACAGAAACACCAGAAAACTACACCGTCGTCCTCGATGAGGAAGGATTCAAAGGCAAGGTTTGCACAAGCTTGTGCACCTTTTTTATTACTTTAGACAGAAGGGGCAGCAATTTATTTGCACATAATTTCTCTGCAGCCACCATAATCGGTACAACTCTTTAAAGAGGATATATTATTCCCTTTTCTAATAATCACCAGAGCATGTCTTCCAAGTTTCCACCAAAAAGTAATTTAATACTGAATTTGTTGTTATGTTAGAGCAATTTAAAGAAATTGGACTGATGTTTCCGACCCAGATCTCAACTCAGGAGCTTTGTAAATCATTGGGTTGTTCAGGGACAAGCTGAAGAGAAGCAGCCAGCCAAAACGTTGATCTCAATAAGAGATTTTAAACATGTTCAAGTGAAATTGAAGCTATTGCTCAGAATGGCCGTACAAAATACCATACCATCTTTATTTATAAAGCACATTTAAAAACGGCATGGCAGCCGACCAAAGTGCTGTACAGAATAAAAAGTAAAAACACAATATAAAACAATACACAGTCAACAATAAAATGCACAACACGGCAGATAATTACAGTCAATAAAAAGACACATAATAAAATAATAAAAATGAACAGAACCAGTTTTGAATCGGGTCACAGGATGGCACTGTGTTCCTGCCTTCCTTGTTCCGACTCCTAATGGGTCCAGACCACCAAAAAAAAGCAGCACAGGATGTATTAAGTCAACGTTCCTGGAAAAACTCATTCAAGCAAGCTACCTTTAGAAAAATAAAAGTCACGGTCCAAACCCCTTTTCATCCGGCTTCCTCCAAGAGTCACTGAATCTGACGGTCGCAGAAAATGGTACAACACTGGTCCGGACACAGTGGACCTAATGTTAGCTTTCTTGTTGGGTTGGGTAACACACCTAGAAAACACTCAGAGAGCCTCCAGGCTTCTGAAAGACTCAGTCCGGTGCCGGTCCAGAGTCCTCAGGACTCTGTCCCTGCTGTAGGTTTAGGAGAGGGAAGCCACCGGGACCTGGACAGGAGACTCGGCGAGAAGGACTGGGCTCCACTTCTGCTAAGGCTACAGTAGCGGATCGTAGAACTGTATAATGATTTTGTATGATATAGCTAGCCCAGCTCTGGCTTTGCTTCCTGTTCAGCTGCTCCAAGCCAAGAATGCACGATTCTTGTGCAGTCGGGGGGTCAGAGGGCAGTTTGATGGAAGGTTTAGGGCCCTGTTGAGAACGGTGACATTCACAATGGCTGGATGAGCTTTCTTCAGAATTATACGTGTCAGAAGGGTTTAAAATTATTTTATGACAAAAGATTTGGTTTGTTGGCTGCCGTCGATATATGAAGAGCACTCTGAGCAAAATGGCAGGAAATGCTCCAGAAGCATCATCCGCTGCACCTTTAGGTGAATAAGAAACACGGCGGGTTTTTCTTCATGTACATAAAAAGAAACGAGACTCAGGAGGTAAAGTGCAGCAGAGACATCAGAGGGATGTATGGAAATTAACATCCACTTTCTTCCCCAGAATTTCCCCTCCTAAATCAGTGTACGGCAGCCCTTTAGGGACACATTTAGCATCCATTCTGCTGCTGGCTCGTCCTTTAATACTGACGCAGATGTTAAAGGCATGTCTGGCCTCGAGGCTTTCTTTCTCTGGGCCAATTTTAGGAGTTAAAAGCTGGCGTGTTGGGAAGCCACTTGGGCTTTCTGAGACAAATGGCACCAGCCAGAACGGAGGACCCGCTGCTGGCTTTAGGAGAACTGACCCAGAATTAAACGTTGCCCTGCTTGAAAAACAGTCAATGGGCGTTAATCTGGAACAGAATTAAAGCTAAAAATGCAGATTTAGATGATAATTTAGTAGTTTTTAAAATCGAGAATCCCAGTTAGCCATTAGAATGCTGTTTACTACGCTTTCTGCTTTTAGTTTTATTTCCCAATTTTCAGCTTTCTTGATGCAACAGTTGGCATTTTCAGCTTAAATCGAATGTTTTCCATTACATTCTGCTGACGTTGACATTTGAACTCAATTTCAGTTCAGTTCTTCGGCATCTTCAGCCGTCACTTTCGGAATTCAGCATTCAAACAGCATTTCTCTAAGAAATGCAATTATTCTAGATGAGAATTGTTGTTCCAAAATGTGACGCATAGCAGAGAAACACGTTCTGTTGTTTTAATTACTGAAACACCAAAAATGATGATATGCCTCCAATTAAATCAGGAGCAACAATCTGTCTTCTTGTTTTGTGTTTTCTTCACATTTGGTGCTTTTTGGTCCCAAAATAGTTCTATCGTAGGTCCAATTCAACACGTTTATTCACTAAAGGGCTGGTCTCTAGGAAAATTCAGTAATGAGCACTTTTATATTAAAAGAAGCGATGAGCGATGGGAGGATCAGCTTAAAAAGAGAACGCTTTCCCTCCAATAAGGAAGTGACTCATCAGTTGTATTTTAGTAGCTAATTCACTCTGAGGCTTGATTTTACAAAATGAGCATCTATATAATGTTAAATAAGATCTAAAAGTAGCAAGAAAAACCCCAAAAGTGACGTAATTTGCTCAGATTTTACAAATGAGTCTCTTTTTCAACCCAATGGGCGCCTCCTGCTGGTTGACTCGATTATTTTTGCTCTGAGATTTGTTGATTCACAGTGAGAAGGATGAGATTTGTTAATCGACCTTTCTTCTCTCGACTCGTCTCAGAGCTGCAGCCCTCTGAGCACCTTCAAGTGGAAAGCTCCACCTGGCTGCCACTCAACGTGGTCTCCAATGGCAACATCTCCAGCAGCTCGCAGGCGGTCGGTGTGACCAAGATCGCCAAGTCGGTCATCGCCCCGCTCGCCCAGCAACACGTCTCCGTCTTCATGCTGTCCACCTATCAGACCGACTTCATCCTGGTCAGCGCCGTCTCACTTTAGTCCAGGTTTTATTTAAGAATGAGCTCAGAAAAGATCCTCTCCAGTCATTTTCACACACTTCCTGTCCTTTTGTTTAGTTAAAAGCATTTGCAGAAAGGTTGTATTCACTTCACTTTCTGATTTTCATCGTTGCTGCGTGGGCCTCCTGTCCATTCACCAGTTTTTCAGCTCATTTCTCAGCTGAGAGAGCGGCGAGCCAAGGCTAGTAAAGTTGGTTAATGTGTTGCACGCGAAAAGTTGCGTCTGCAAAAATGCAAAAGGACTTGTCAGACGTTTATGTCAGCAGGAAGCTTTAGATTAATGGTTGACCTGCAAGCTGAACTTAATGCAGCCACTGCTGTGTGTTAAAAAAGCCAAATTGCTGTGGAATGGGATTCACGGTGCGATTCTCTCGTTTTTGTGTGTTCAGGTGAGAGAGAAAGACCTGTCTGTGGTCATCAGCACTCTGGAGGAAGAGTTCAACATTTACAGGGAGGTGGAAGGCGAGTCGGTCCCCGTGGGCTGTCCGAATGTTTCCAACGTCCTTCAGAAGAACGGCAAAGAAGGTGCAGTTAGAGCCGGTCCTGCTTTACCTGTGAGGCTTTGGTCCAGGGTGCAGGCTGCGAAATGATCAGAAATATCCAGTAATGTTTATACTCTGTTGTGTGTTCTGCTGCTGCTGCAAACAGGGCAGTCATTCTTATAGCTGTCCAACGATCTGAGCATTTACACAGCCTCTACTGAAGCAGCACGCAGATGCACACACTTAGTTTGTGTAAGGAAGTTACAGGAAAGTTTGAAAATACACAATAATAAATACATCGTCATGGCCCAGAGACATGACCGCAACGGGACCAGACCCCTGCAGAAAAGCACTACGCCCCCTGTTGTCCTGAAAGGAAAACGCCTGTGTGTGTGTGTGTGTGTGTGTGTGTGTGTGTGTGTGTGTGTGTGTGTGTGTGTGTGTGTGTGTGTGTGTGTGTGTGTGTGTGTGTGTGTGTGTGTGTGTGTGTGTGTGTGTGTGTGTGTGTGTGTGTGTGTGTGTGTGTGTGTGTGTGTGTGTGTGTGCGTGCATGTGCGCCCGAGCTGATGGAGACAAATAAACTAAGAGTTAGGGCTGAGCGAGTACACCGCTGTCTGTATCTGTTCAACCATCTAAATTTTCTGTATCTGTACTCAGAGTGGGCGTGGCCTCACCCAGATGTGGGAGAGAGGGGGGGGGGGGCAGCATGAGCCGTTTTCAGCTCTGTCTTGTCAAATGCACCACGTACGTGAGCAACACTGAAGCAAGCCCAGAGAGACACGTTAGTGTGTGTGTGTGTGTGTGTGTGTGTGTGTGTGTGTGTGTGTGTGTGTGTGTGTGTGTGTGTGTGTGTGTGTGTGTGTGCCGATAACTAAGAGTTATTGGAAGTAGAGTCTGCAGGCACATCTAGTCAGTGATTAAAAATTTGAACAAAATTTCGTGTTTCTGCTGTTCTGCGTTAGATTTAAGAACTTCTATGTAGAAATGTTGGGTTTAAAGTAGTTTTGGTCTTGTCTTCTATAGAAATGGCACATATGATCTGATATCTGCTTTACATTTTTTACACATACACACACACGCTCACGCGTGCGCTGCATCAGTTTCACTAGATTGCATCATCTACAGAATGTGCAGCACGGTGACCTCCAGACATCCTGAAGAACATGTCCACACACCCTTTCAGGACTGAGATAGCAGCGTTTAACCAGCAGCTCAAACTGGTTTACACACAAGCGTTCAGTGAGACCAGCAGCTGTGCTGTTGCACGAAACCGACTTTTCCAGATGATGTTAAAGCAGCAATCCGGAGTTTTCCTTCTGTCAGGATTTATGTATAATTAGTTAGAAGTCTGTAAAAGTGAAAGGCTTGGCCTTGCTGTGATATAAGGTGGGCAACACGTCACTTGTTTTTCATTTCATTTATTTATTTATTTATGAAGCACCTGGCATCCCAGATCATAAACATTAAATTAGAGACAACAATAAGATCATACTAAAAAGTGGATGTTGTAAGACATAAAAAAACACTAAAAAGATCAAATAAAAATGCACATGATGCCTAAAAACAATAAAAACAAATAAAAACATTCCAAGAATATTACCAGAAAATAACAATAAAACCAAGAGTACAAAAAAGTATAAAAATAACTAGATTTGTAATATTGCTCCAATTTAGCTTTAAAACTCCAGACAGTAGAGGACTGTTTAATATCTAGTGGGAGTGTTGGGTATTTTTATAATTGTTCCTTTTTGAGGCCTAAAAGATGCTCCTTTAACACTTCATGAATCTCTGTGTTTGCCAACTGTGGCTGTTCATGAAAGGTTGAGCAGAGAAGCTCGTTTGCAGTCAAGGATGTTGATTGTGGATTTCCAAAGAAACCTCTGTACCTCTGTAACCTGAGAAGGCCCCGCCTTCTCCATCCTTTGCTAAATAAAACCCCTGGCAAACTGGGAACACGAGGGGAGTGACGTGGGGACAGCCTCGGAGGAGGTTTTCCCTGCATTAACTCTCCATTATTTTGGAGACTCAGGGTAAAATGTCTTCCATGTTGTCATGAGTGTTTATTTCAGGTTCCAGGGTTATGGAGATTAAATATTACCTAACATTTTGGTGGAGAATGCGGGCATGCAGAGCTGGTGAGCTGAAGGCGTTAGCTCCATGGAGGGGTTTCTGCGCCCAGCTCTCGCATGACGATTCATGGACATTACAAATAATCTCTCTCTGTGTGTCGTCCTTTAAGGTAATATGGGATAAATCAGGGTATCCGCGGGTCCTTAAAAAGTCTTAAATTTGCTTTTCCAAATTTAAGGCCTTAAAAATCCTTAAAAATGACAAATAATGCTTAAATCCAGTTTCCAAAGGTCTTAAATTACCAAAGACCCAAAAAACAAGATTATTCTATTTCTATAAAAATTTTCGTGAATTTCTAGTTAGTGTTCAGCATTTTTTGTGTACGATGTTGGCGTAAGCGGAACCGTACACATTCAGTTGGTTGTGAAAGGGGGCTATTTTTAGATGAGCACATTAGCTGGTTAAGCTAGTGGGAGCGTGCGCCATGAGGAAGTGCAAGTTGAATGGTAACTGGATGGCTAATCCCACGTTCACGACGCGGTTAGCACCGGCTCCAGGCAATAGCTGGGAATTATAGCTTAAATTTAATTTTAAAAATAGCTTAAATTTGGTCAAAGTGGCCTTAAAAAGGTCTTAAAAAGTCTTAAATTTGGCTCCCTTAAACCTGCAGATACCCTGATAAATGAAAAATTACCTATCAGGGAGTTTGTTCCACAGTCTTGGGGCCAGCATTGCAAAGGCTCGCTCCCCTCCAGACCTGCAGTTCAACCCAGACTCGACCGCTAAATCCTTCCCTGCAGAGCGGAGAGGTCGAGGAGGAACTTGCCTTATTAAAAGCTCTGCAAGACAAGGTGGCGCTGTTCCAGCAAGCGCCTGGAAAACAAAAATCAGGAGCCTGTCCCCGTCCGTCCCATCGGGTCCTGTGTGATTGGAGTTGACCACAGTTCAGCATTAGCCAATGGCATTAGACATCCGCTTACGTACAGACATCGGTCACAGAGCATACGCGAGCGTTTGGTGACATACCTGATGCATACGGGGACAAACTGGTGGTTCTTTCCTCCCGAAGGAAGGATGTGAAGTTTTCCCTGTTTTTCTCTGTTTCTGATTAGATGACGTCACTTTCGTGAAGCGCATTTGTAGTCCTGGACTTGTTTTCACACTAAACCTAAAATTAGCCCACCCCCACCCCCACCCCCATTTGGAAGAAAATAAGTGAGTTCTTGGTATGAAAATGCTTCTTTAAAATTCACGGACATCAGCCTTTGCGATTAGAAAATCTCCTTTTATCACATCGCAATTTAATTGCACATGCAGTTAATCGTTCAGCCCTAATATACATGCAAAAATAGGCATATTAGTGAAAATCTGAACATAAACTAATAGAAGGTATCGATCCACATTAACAACATGCTGGAGAAACAAAATTCACGATTCCAGAAATGCAATCAGGGGCCACGGCAAATCACTTTGAGGGGCACAAACGGCCCCCGGGCCGCACTTTGGACATGCAGGGATGTACACAAGTCCCTTACTTTAACTAGAGACACTGTCCATGTCAACACACAATGTTTCTGTCTGAAGAACAAAACTGAAGTAAAGACACACACACACACACACGCGCACACACACACACATGTGACACATAATCAGTTAAACAATGAAAGATGAAACTGTATTATGTAACTTGTCCTGTTAAATACACGCTCTCTCTATTTCTGCAGCTCTCCATCCCACTGTCCACCCAGTGCTGATCCCCCAGAACCAGTTCGGGGTCATGTCTCTGGACCCGGACACGCTGCCGTCCATCGCCACCACGCTTATCGACGTCCTCTTTTATTCCAACAGGTTGAGATGCTGATTGTGTTTTCGTGCTTGCGTGGACGATGTTGAATGTCCGCCATCGTGGCTGCTTGTAAAGAGGGAACCGGTTAATAAGGAACCGGTTAATAATAAACCCACCTGGTAAAACGAAGGTTTATATTAGTGTTAGATGTTCACACTGCTGCAGTACTTCTCTAAGACACAAGGTGGCAGCACAGGCCCATAAACAGGAAGTTGCATTAAATCAAATCAAATCAAATCACTTTTATTGTCACGTCACATGTGCAGGTACACTGGTACAGTACATGTGAGTGAAATTCTTGTGTGCGAGCTTCACAGCAACAGAGTTGTGCAAAAAAATACAGTAACGTAAAAACATGTAAAATATAAAAATGGCTAATCTAATATACAAATGAATAAAGTAAACAATAAGATAAGAGATATAAAATATACAGAGGCTGGTATGTGCAAAACAGTGGCATTAATGTACAGTATGGAGTGTGTAATGTTGGAGTTTCAGGCCGACTATGTTTTAAAGTTTATAACATATTTATTACATCACAAACAGAATGGCGTTTATTTAAACATCCAAAAATAAAGTTTGAGTTAGATTTCTTTAAAATAAAATAAATAATAGTTGTTACTGAGATATTTTTAGCTTCCTGCAGGAATGTTTTCGTTAGTTTCTAGTTCTGCTGCTGTTGGAATATTAAAGCAGCACTCTTTCTTTTTTTATTATTAAAATGAAAAACTATTCTGCTGCTTTGTGTCCCCTCCTTTAGTCCCAAAGTGGACAGCCAGTCGTCCCCAAACCAGGACCTGGACTGCATCAAGTTCTTTTCCTTCTCCCTCATCGACGGATACATCTCCCTGGTGATGGACACTGAGGCTCAGAGACAGTAAGGGGCGATTTGGGTTTTTCATGCTGTTGTTGGGTTGAAATAAAAAAAAAAGTGTTTCTGTTGAAGGTTTCCTGCAGATCTGCTGTTCACCAGCTCCTCCAGGGAGCTGTGGAGGATGGTTCGTATAGGAGGACAGCCGCTGGGTTTTGGTAAGTCCTCTCCACTTTAACGGGGGGGGGGGGGGGGGGGGGGGGGGGGGGGGGTCAAAGTCTAAATAGACCCAGAAATTACTCTAAAGATGTTTAATATTACATTTGACTGAGGTGTTTTTTTTAATCTGACTCTGATGATTGTCCCTCTTGTTTCAGACGAGTGTGGCATCGTGGCTCAGATTTCTCAGCCTCTTGCTGATGGAGACATTTCTGCCTATTACATAAGCACCTTCAGCTTCGACCATGCTCTGGTGAGTCACACACTTTGGCAACTTTTACCACGACGCCTAACCAGTTTCTATGGAAACCCAGCACACTTATTTTCCTTTTTTCATCACTTAATACCAAAAGAGTTATTACTCCTATGAAGTTTTAATCATCACACTAAGCAGACCGCGAACCAGTTCATGACCCAGCTCATCTTCCTCAAAGAGGAAGCTTCGTTTTTAAAACCCTCGCTTTGGCGTCACCCCGGTTTCACACTGCAAGCATCAGCGGAGCGGCTCACTCGCCAACTTCAAAGCGGTCCTTTTCACACCGGGAGAGTGTTGGCCACGGCACGGCTTCCTCGCTGCGCCTCGCCGTACCCGCGAGATTCTAAAATCCCTCCAGACTTCCGACACCTTCCTCATGGAGAGATCACAACCCCCGTGAGGAATCTCACCGTTGCACTTCTCGAAAGAAACCGGTGGTAAACAAAGCCGTTCGGTCACACGTGCTGACGTAAGTTACATATAACATCGCAACGTTGCATTTTATTTTGAAAATAACCGGGGATTTTACACTGAAACCGTGTGTGGTTTCCTGTCTCGCACTATGTGAACTGCAAAAATTGACGTGTCCCAGAAGCGGCTCGTGGAAAAAAATCAAACTCGATCCTATCTTTAGCGGCGCGGCACGCCGCTTCTGGGACGCGCCTGGAGATTGCCGCGGCGCGGCTGGTTTGAAACACTCCGTAGACTATAATCGGATTCTGTTTGAAGCGGTGCCGCTCCGCTGATGTTCCGATTCGCCGTTGCTTGCAGTGTGAGACCGGGGTCAGACTCCGGCCTTGGGTCTCATTCTTCCTTCTTCCAGCTAAACAGCGGAGCTTCATCCTTCTCCTGTTTTATACACAAGAAGCCACTAAACTACAGAAAGGTAACAGTCTGACACAGATCGCTGCGTTATAACTTAAGCTCCGCCCCATGTGACAGCTCACACCCGCTGTCACCGCGCTTCCTCTGTCCCTCTGCAGCAGAACGCTACTGAACCATCCTTATTGGATGAATTAGTGAAATTTCCACCAACAGCAAAGGGATCTCGTGTATTTTTGTTTTATTCGTTATGTTCGTGAGCTCATCTCGTCTCAGCGCTCACAGAATCACGGTTTTCACGATTTATCTGATGGTCTAAAAATGTACTTTAATTATTTTAGTATAACTCCTGTTTACCTTGGGCTGTTAACTCATTCACCGCCATTGACGACTAAAGTCATCATTTGCATGTTTTTACTGTGTGGGCGTCGGACGAGCCCCCGCACCGTGAGAACAAACATCTCAGCTCTAAAGCCGATCTTCATCCGCGTACGTCACGCGTCACGTGATCAGGAAGCAGAACATCCATGTGTTAGGAGATCGTTTTGGGCCGCTGCTGTAAAAAAAGTGAGGCGCGAACCGGAAAAGCATCTGCCGATCACAATTCAACAACGGATTGTGAAAGAACGGATAACGCTCGAAACGCGCGGATTCTTCCTGATGTAAGAGGTGAGTCTCCTCTTTGTTTTGGTTGTTTTGGCGTCGACATCATCCTAGCGCGCAACGTTCTGTCACTCTTAAAAAAAACAGTAAAAACGGTGAGAAACGCTGGCAGCGAGTGAGTTAACTCAAATAAAAACTAGTGTGAAGTTTATAATCCGCATTTTAAACATAAATTGAAACCGAAGCTCAGAGAGGCGGAGTCTTGCTGCTGCGGCGTCCCAAAGGTGTGTTTTCATTGGTCGATTGCAGACAGGAGTCGTAGTGTAGGTTTTCAAGCATGCTTGAAGACCCTTGAGACTGATTTGGTCGTGAGACGGCTCAAAAAGCTGTCGCGCTGTACGTTCACAGCATGGTGCACAATCACCCTGACGTTGACCGTGTTTCCGTCACGATTCTGCTCAGGACGACGGATTTGGCTGAGACGGCCAAAACCTGCAGGAGCACTAGGAAGATATTTACTGCATTAAAGATGTCCGGATGTTTTCTTTTAGCTGATGGCGCCATCTAGTGGCTGACAAGCGCAACATGCTCCTCTAGCCAGCAAACGGAGCTAAAACGCGTTACTTTACAATCATTCTGCTCGTGTTACGTTGTGTTTTCATATATTTATATTTTAAAGACTTACTTGTCCACGAGAAAGATCGCCAACTCTGAATCAACCGAGGGACGTGCGTAAGCAGTAGTCTAACACTACTGGTTAGCGCTGACCGGCGCTCGTTGCATTGAGCTCTATGGGACAGGGGGCGGGCTTAACAACAGAAACAGACGTATTGCCTACATGATATCACATTACCTGATAGACGATCACTTTTATGGATTTCTGAAAAATCATACATAATTCCTGGAAGGGGGAAACCCGGAGAGCAGCTTTAAATCACGAGTCACATGTAATAGTCTGTTCAGTCTGGCCTCCGACAATCTAACCGAGTCATACCAGGTGCTGGTGAGTCTGTGGATTTTTGATTCCTTAACGCACCCTCCAAATGTGTCAGATATGAGCGTACACCTCCTCTGTGCGGCTCATCGCGTCAGCAGTTGAGCGTCACCACCTTTCGACCACAAACGGGTCTGAAATCAGCAAATTCCATGAATGTGTAGGAGCAGAGAGAGAAGCATCAGTTGTGATGACACGGTTGATTCTCCTTTTACACGTCAGAAAAATTCATTATCCTTTCATCCAGTCAGCTTCCTCTGATTACCGTGGGTCAGATCGCAGAGAAGCCTAGACTTCCCTCTCCCCAGCCACTTGGTCCTGCTCCTCCGGGGGAAACCCAAGACGTTCCCTGGCCAGCCGGGAACCCTAGCCCCTCCCGGAGGGCCGAGCTTCTCACCCTGTCTCTACGGTGTCTCATGGACACAACTACCCAAAGATCCGCGGCTGTGTTCCCAACATTTTTCTCCTGATGCTTCTAGTCGACCTCAACGACATAAAGAGCTCACCGGAGCGGCGGGGTATAAGAGGAGGCAGAAACTAAACGCGTTAGCGACCATTTTCCCACACAAGGAGCCTAAACGCCCTCGGAGAGACGCTGGACGCTCGCCTGAGCCGACGACCCGCTCCTGCAGCTTCCGCTTCTGTCGCATTCAGCCGACCATCGGACACGCCACCCGCCACGGATGAAGCTGAACGTTCACCTCTCCCGTCAGTAAAACGAGCAGAAATGCAAAAATGATTTAAAGTCGTTTTACTGAACGTCCCGATCGTCCATGAAGCACGCGACGGCTCTGGATGCTGAAATTCTCCTAAATCATTCATAACGGAGTTAGTCTGATCACACGATAGCTTTCCGTTAACTAACACTCTCCCTCTCGGTTACCATGGAGACGCATTTGCCGCACACGCACCACCGGTTCTGTCCTGCTCTCGCGTCATCCCGCCCTTCCTGCTCTTCATGTTCACGCTCGTTTTGTGAAACATGGTCAGTGATGTCATCGGTGATGTCATCATTAATGTTCTGCTCTGGTTCAAACTGAAAAGGTTGAACAGATGACGCGTTGATGTCGCTGAACAGTCACTACAGGGTCCCACAGCTGGCCGGTGCAACCAGATGACGCCACTACCCAGAGTGCATTGCGACGCTAACAACAATGGCGACCTACGAGTTCAACTATTTGTACAAATGTTATAAAAATGAAGACATCAAGAAAGTTTTTTTACACCACTTTAACAGAACCGATACTAACATTTATCATTTAAGAACCACAAGGTGTTGTAGCCCGGGTTCCCGTTGTGGGGTAGGGTTGGCTGACCCAGGACGGGCTGACGGGACCGTGTTTCTCAGCTGGCCCAAGGGCCTGGGCAGAGGGAAGTCCGAGCCTCTCCGCTCAGGCTGCTGCCCCCGCAGACCCCGGGTAAGCAGATGAAAATGGACGGACATTCCTTAGACTGAACAGGTCCTTCCTGCTCATGATATGATGGATGAGTCACAATCATTTTATCTCTGATAAAGCAGACAAACTCCTCCCAAGACCAGCGGACAAAAACAAGCACATCATGCTTCTCTAGCAGCTTCTGTGTTCTGGTTCTGTCCAGTTTCCTGCAGCAACATATGCCCGTACTCACATGTGCCAAATGAATACGATCACGTGTGATTTCTGTAGAGAGCAGCCCTAATAACAGGTCGTCTAACGTCTGTCCAGGTTCCCGAGGAAGACATTGTGAGTGTGACCGACATGCTTCATCAGCAGAGGAAAGACGCGGCCACCAGCTGATTGAACTGGAAGACCCAAATCCGTGTTACTCCTCCTCATTCTTCTGAAGCAAGGAGTAGCCGGCTAGCAGGAGGAGAGGCTAACTCTGTGCCTAGATTAGCTCCGCCTTGCCAACAGTATTAAAGACAGCGCATTTGCCATGGACACCAGAAGCACTTCTCTGAGATGTGTGTGCAATTCGTCGGGCTCTTCAGGTTCCTGTGAGCACATCATCACGCACAACCATCCATTTAAATCAGAAAACACTTATCTGTTATGATTAATATGCAATATATCTGGGTTAGTATGATAAACCTCAGCTTCCTGTTGCTGGAATGAAGAATTGTGATGTGGCCGAACATCCGAACCATCGCACAAGTGTTCATATGAGAAAATGTGGCCTTAAACAATGAGGGAAACTGCTGGATGTTAATTTAAATGTAAAAATCAATGCTGCCTTCTATTTATGTAGAAGTGATTTTTATTTTTTTACATTATCTCAAAAAAAAAATTTTTTTTTGGTCAAAGCTAATCAGACCTGCAGTTTCATTGTGATCAGAGTCAAATAAGGATTTATTAAAATTTTTGCTTCTAATTGAATTTCATAACTGTAAACAGTATCTGACGGCCATGGGGAGATCGAATTTCTTCTTAAAGATTCAGTCACTTCCTGGACAGCCATTTTTAGAGCAGGTCTGTTGTAAGATGACTTGAAAGTCATTTTCCTGTTCCTGTTCATTTGAAGTAAATTTAAATAAGCTGAAAGAAAGCATGTCATTGGATTTTATTTTTTATTATAACGATGCATTTTCCTCATTATTTAAGCCACTCCATCCATAGAGAGGTTTTGGAGTGCATTCGTTGTTCAGCTCTATTTTTAAGGCTAACAGTTTGGTTTGAGGACAATTTACAAATTAAAACTTTCTTTTTATGAAAGGTCAACATTTTTATTACCATTAACGCGTTACCTGAGGTCAGTAACACTATGTCTTAGTTATTTGCTCTTTGCACAGCAGCCTTGGTTTAGTGAGTTTCTCAGAGATGTATTTTTCTTTGGTACCGCTGCATTTTATACAATTTTGAAGTATTCTGTAAACATTTGAAGATTTTGTGCTGCTTCATCAAATAAAAATACTGAAAATTGTTCATTATTTTCTCATTATTTCTAAGCAAGAGTAACATTTTAATAGCAAGAGTAACATTTTAATACGGATGACGCTCAGAGGCACCAAGGCAAAGACTGCATCCCTGATGCAACAATGGAGTTTCGATTGGAAACAAACTCATTTTAGTGACGCAAGACAAACTCATCATTTCAAAAGAACGTCCTCTTCACCACCTTCTCTTTAAAAGTCTCTCAGCCAACGTTTTATGGATTCATTTTTACCCCTAATATGAAGTTTCAAATACATTAAAATAATAAACAGGATAAACTGTGGCTTAGATTTGTATTGTTCTTAATGTCTGATTTCCATTCAGTAATCATAAAATATTGAGATTCACGCATAATCAGATATTTCCGGTTAGACTGAGTGAAAAAAACAGTTTTGGACGAATTCTTTATTTTGAGAAACTGCTTTTACATCTAAAAGCTATGAATGCGTGTTCTTGGAGATGAATGATAAATGACCCGCACTTGAATAGCACCTCTCAGAGTAAGGACTACAAAGCGCTTTACACTACAGTGTAGCATTCATCCATTCACACACTGATGGTGATGAGCTACGATGTAACCACAGCTGCCCTGGGGCGCACCGACAGAGGCGAGGCTGCCGAGCACAGGCGCCGCCGGTCCCTCCGACCACCACCAGCAGGCAAGGTGGGTTAAGTGTCTTGCCCAAGGACACAACAGCAGAATTCTCTGTCTGGAGCCGGGATCGAACCTGCAACCTTCCGATTTCTGGAAAACCCGCTCAACCTGTTGAGCTACTGCTGCCCTGAATGCAACAAACTGAGGAAGAAAACAAAGTGTAACCAAAGCAGATCCCTGTGGGATGCCAAAACGGATCAATGTGATTTTAATCATCTCCTGCAAGGTAAGTCTATAAAACTATATCCAATATTTCAAAATATACTTAGAACCTTAAAAAATATTTAAGTATTTGCCTCCCGTGAGACGGACCAACGCAACAATGTGGTCTTGATTGGAAACCTTTCAGTCATTCAGCAGTTTTTTGTTTTTTGTTTTTGATCCTCAGACAGATGAGAATTTCATTAAAAAAAAGTGATAAAATTATCAAACAGATCAATGGCTTCACACCCGCCCTCTCTGAGGCACACCACACTACTTTGTCATTCCACAGATGTGTTCCTAAATGTAACGGAATTTTGTCACGGGTCCGGTCTGCGTGGGTGTGGATGACCACGTTAAATCTATAAATACTAATAAGAATCACATCTAACACACAAAGTTACACCTTGCCTTTATCAGATCACTTGCTCCCGCCATGATGAAACTTGCACGTAACGGTGAGTACTTCACTTCTCTGGGACTGGCACGGCTTTTGATTTTCAGTAATGGCTTCTCAGTTTTATCTCTTAAACGCTGTCCCGGTGGAGCTTGGTACAGAACGCTAAAGCAGATCACTGGGCACAGGAGCAACTTTGGGTGGTAAAGCAATCCTGTTGCTGCTGTCGGGGTTGCTTTGTTTTGTTTGGATTTAATCGTTTAGCATCTTCTGCTTTTTTATTTAGACATTTTGTGTTCAGCAGCTGTTTTTTTCTGCATGTAAATGAGCTATTTCCTGCCGCGCTTTTAGTTCATTTTGCATCTGTTTTAGAAAATTTTAATAATTGCATTAATGGGAAAAAAATTCCTCTTTATTTAAGGTTTCCTGAGCATTTAAACTGTGACCCTGTTTAGTAATTTTTCCCTTATTTGGAAAGATTATTATTATTATTGAGACCCCATGAACAAGTCAATATTTTGTCAGTAATAAAAATTTTAATTTTCCCTCCACCACATTGTCTTTTCCAGCTCTCGTCTTGATGCTTCTGGTCATCTGGTCGGTTCCCGTCCTTCCTGCTGCCATCCCCGACAACTGTGCTTCCGATTTTGAGCAAGCGAGGCGTCTTGTGAACTTACTCCATCTTAAAGCAACTGACTTAAAGGATAAATATGTAAGTAATGCCCGCCGACCCTGGGACGCCCTAAACTTGAAACAGAAATTTACTATACTGCAACAGCCAAAATGTTTGTAGTTGTGAAACTAGTCAAGAACCACGTCTGGTTAAGCTGTCCAAGCCGTTTTCTGCAGAATCCCGCAAGTTCTTTTCCGACTGGCTTGTGTAAATGTGCAACAGGTTCCCCGTCTTGTTGTTTAGAAGTGCACGTACACAGAAAGCTGAAAGCAGCTGTTGAACAAACTAAAACTGAATCTGACAGCTATGTGTGTCACTCTCTGGTTTTGCTACATCTTGCACAATTTTAAAGCAATGCCCAAAAAAAGACACGCTGCGTGACACAACCTTGTGACCAAATGTGTTTATTTAGATGTGTTGTTGTGGGATGTTAGCGCTTTGAAGTTAGAAAACATGAACTGTTACCCAGAGAATAAGTCATAGCTGTGATGCTACAGCATGTAGACGTCGTAATGTTTCACCTGGAACGAGCAGACCAACATTTACGGTGCATGCCAAATGCAGGGGTAGGCGGTGCCACTATCCAGCATGTTTTAGTTGTTTCCCTGCTTCAACAAACCTATCACCCGCTCACCTAGTTTTCAAGCTCTGTAGAGGCATTCAACTACTGGTTAAATTAGCTGTGTTGGAGCAGGGAAACGACTAAAACACGCAGGACAGCGGCAGAATGCTAAAACAGCCGTCGCCTCCAGACTCTCCGGTGACCATCCTAACTCCGTTTCTTCTGTTTCCTTTCTTCACAGCTCAGGAAACACAGAATCAATAACGTGGACATTCCAGATGAAGCTCCTACCTCCACAGTGACCGGCTCTAGCCTCTTGGAGAAACTGGAAGACGTCTACACAAAGAACAGACTTTTCAGATTGCATATTTTACAAGTAGAAAAGTACCAGAAGGAACTCTTGCCCGACCCAAAGCCTCTCTCAGATGGTTTAAAGGAAATTGCGCGTAAGCTTTCCCGCCACCTCCATGTGCTGGAGAACGCTCTTGGCTGCCTGGACCCGATGACCCGCCCATCGACGTCACCCTCCCTTCCTGATATGGACCATCATGGCGACTATTCAAAGAAAGTCTACGGATGGGGAGTCATTGTCAGGCTGATCGAGTGGCTGGATGAGGTGAAGATCGTGCTAGCACCAAGAAAATTTAAAAAATAACAATCGGAAATAACTTTTTCTGCAGAAACGGTTTGGCCAAAGCCTTCTGAGTAATCAAGCAAATAATCAGTGAGACAAAAGCGATCCATCGTGGTCGAGAGTTTATATTTACACCTGATGGTTACGGTTTCAGCACACGCATTTCTGAACAGATAAAAACTCAACCAGTTTTGTATTTACTGTAAAAAATATGGAAAAATGTTCAACCGTGATCCGCGGCGCTCCCAAAGAGATGAGAGTCACTTGTTCAGAGGGGAACGGCGACCTGTACTTTACACGTTTTAATGTCTTTTATTTATTAATACTCTATTTATAATATGGTGTTGTTGTTGTAGTTATTAAAAAAGTATTTATTTAACTTTGCATTTAAATCAGTCTTTTGTTTTTGGGTTTAAACTTCATCCAAACTGAAATGTAACTCAGTGGCGTGTCCAGATCTTTTAAAACGGGGGGGGGGGGGGGGGGGGGGGGCAGGTGAGGCACAACTTTGTGCATGGGTGGCACCAATGGTTATGCTTTTTTTTTTTTTTACCCCAAGCCCTTTGTGGACAATGAAAAGCCTATTTAAAGGTAAATTAGTGTGGTGGCACCTGGGGTGGCCAATCAGATTCCAAGGGTGACATGTGCTACCCCAGGCCACTCCCTGGACACGCCCCTGATGTAACTGAGGAACACGGTCCACGTTTCTGTGAAATAAGATGAATTATTTAACAGTATTTAGATGAGCGAGTGCACGGGGACAGAAACAGACACGTTCAGGTGTAAGAGGGAGAAATGAAGAGTTCTCTAATGGTGGTGATGCTTTTCACCAGTGTTACTGTTATTTTATTAGCTAAGCTGCAAACCGACCTTTTCCCACCACCAACACGATTGTGTGTGTCACATCTTTTATATCAACGCCTGTTTGACTTGACGCTGAGGTCACTTACCTGCTGACGTCACATGAGTGCCTCTGATCGTCAGACTCAATCAGCCAGAAGTGCGAACAGGTTGGACTCATTAGCTCCACTACAGTGAAGCACGCAGCACTGCCAGCACGTGGCTTTTTAACAATAAACTACATTTTGATGAATCATTCCAGTTTGTGACATTTGACATGTGCATGCCGCCATCACAATCATTTATGCATGGTGGGTTATTTTATGTTTGCAGGATTTATGTTTGGGCCACCCCTCTCTCACCGAGCAGGTGGTGTGCTCCGGTTAGGTGAGACCAACAGCTCGCTGCATCTTCAGTGAGGCAGCAAGGTTTTTTATTTATGTTTTTTACATTTCCCACATTTAGATTAGATTTCCAATCCATTGGAATTTCTTGGATTAGTATTTTAGATGAAATGCCGGCTGTGTTTCCTCAGAGGCACGTTTGCATGGCTGCAGAAAGGACATCAACTTCTGCAAAGTGTCTGGATAAATTGTAAAAAAAAAAAAGTGTAATTTTACTCTCCGATCGCACAAAGAATAAATAAACTAAATACTACAGAGTGCAGTCAGAGGGTAAAACTAGAATCACTTAAACGTGTTCATTTGTGGCTCATAAAAAAGAATCGAATGAATCACAAGTCATGGCAAAAGTACCCGGTTCATGACTGACGTGTCTCAAAAGACAAAACAAACTTGTTGACATAAGATTCAAATTTAGAGTTCTGAGAAAAATGATAAGAGGCGTTATCTTTTTTTTTTATTCCTTTGAAAGTTGCTCTGAGTTTATTTCCTTTACTAGAAGTGACTAAAACACACGTTAACACTCTGACCTGATGGAGAAACCCTTTTGGTCAACCACATTTCAATCAAAGGATCTGATTCTATCTGCAGCTCATCTTTTACACGCCTCTTCTAACAGCGTAAATGATGCTGTGTGACTGGGCCGACGTTATTTTAGCTGCTGCAGTTCAGACCTACTGGAACAAACTTTGAGTAAAGCAAGAATGAAATGCACAGTAGGTATGATGCTCAGTTTAATATCATATGTGGGTGTTTTCACAAACATTTTGATTGTGTCTTTCAAAATTCTGAATTGTGCAATGATACTTGCAGGCTTTCTTGGAGCGGCGTGCACCTGGATCCTGATCCTGACGCAGGACTTGGCTGCAGGATCTGTGTTCACGAAGCATGCAGACGGCGCGTCGTGCAGCCTGAAGGAGCTGACCGCCCTCACAGAGAATGACGTAGAGGATAGTTTGGAGCTTTTTGTAAGTAAACGTTCCTCGTTTCTGCAGGATGCCTTTAAGTTACACCGGCGTCTCCTAGTCCTTCCTTAGATCTTTAAATGTTTGAGTTCAAGTACAGTACAGGTTTCCTTTAACTTCCTTTTATGCATAATGAAAAATGAAGTTTTTTTTGCTTTATTGTAGAATGAAAACTGAAAAAGGATCTAAAACAACATTTAAACAGCATGCAGCGTTTACAAATGCAGCTAAATGGAATTTATTTTTTATATAACTAAAAAAAGCTAAATTGCAGCTGCAGATAATGATTTTCTTCACTCACAACATCACGTTTAATATGTGTTGTTGAAGATGAACCAAATCTGATCCACAACTTTGTTTATAACCTTGCACAACGGGCAGCTGAGCAGCACAGGCTGCACTAAACGATGCAAGAATTAGAAAAAAAATCAAGCATTTTCAACCCAAAGTACGGGATTAGCATGTTAAATGTTTTAAAATGGACTTCCAGGAACACAAATACTTCCTGTTGCCTTTAGTTTGGCACTGTGCATCAAATTTAGAGGCATTTATGCGTAGTTCATGATGGCATTACATTCAGACATCGGTTTTCATTCAGGACGAAGCCAACGGAAGGACCCTGGGAACGTGGTTTCCCGGTTTTCCTGAGCTGCAGGTCCACCAGAACGCTCCTCTCAGCGGGTCAAAAATCCAGTGTGATCTCCACTTCATGGCTCAAGGCCTGCAGAAGGTTTTGGAGGACCAGGAGCACAATCTGAATCCTGCAGACGTTTCACTCCACAAAAGGCTCCGTCACACGATTTCGAGGGTCAGCATGCTTGCAGCGTGTGTGACGAAAACCCTCGGCGGCAAATGCTCCCATTATCCAACCCCACCTCGGATGCCTCGACACGCGTTCGAGAGGAAGCAGTGGAGCCACACGCTGCTGAAGTCCGCCAAGGGCTTCCTGGCCTGGATGCTGCACCAGCTGGAGGAGCAAACCAGGAACGCAAACAAGCAAAAGCTGAAAAACACAAAAGCATCACTTCACAGATACTTAGTGGGGAGTGGAAACCAGCTGTAATCTCACTTTAAGATCACTTTCCATGTGTGTAAATTAATATCATTTACAAAGCGTACAGATTTGTCTATATTCTCATTTTTTACTCTGTTGGAATAAAATGAAAGTGCCTATAGGGTCACGTGTCCTGACTGCATGAATCCTTAACACAAAACACGTCTCAATTCTTGAAACTTCCAGTAATAAATGAGAAGTTTGTAAATGAACAATTCAGAGGAAGTTGGCTTCCTGCTGATAACAGTTCCTGATTAGTAAAGCAGGCAGGTTGTGTGTAGAAACCACTTCCTGCCTTGCAGAGCATTTAAATACCTTTAAGTAAAAATACAAAATGTCCAAAAAATTCCAGATTTCTCACATATTTTCAGTTATTTATGATAAGATGCAAGTTTGGGCTCCTCGAGTTTTTAGCAGTAAACACAGCATGAAAACTAAAAGAAAAGACTTTTTGTTTTATTATATTTGATAACCTTCAGCAGCGGATGTGTCCCCATGTGACAGTAATTAATCAAATGAGAAGCAGGTCTAATACATTTCCTAATTACAGAAGTGTGTTTCCTCGGCCTTCAGAGTGATGAATTGTTTTGCTCCGGCCGGTTTTCCCCGGTGAGCGCGACGCGTCGCCTCAGGTAGGAATCACCTTCTGAGAGCTGCTGGTCAACAAACCTTCCAGTGAAAATCTGCAGCCAGATGGACGGAGAGTGGGGAGATGCGTCTGTCAGGATCTGAAGAAATTCAAAATTACTACACTGTAAAAATAAGATGTTCCAGTTAAATGGTGAATTATTACTTTAGAAATAATTCACCAGTGAGTGAGGGTAGGAGGGATCGGGAGATCGACAGGCGGATTGGTTCGGCGTCTGCAGCGATGCGGACGCTGAGTCGATCTGTCGTGGTGAAGAGGGAGCTGAGCCAGAAAGCCAGGCTCTCGATTTACCGGTCCATCTACGTCCCAATCCTCACCTATGGTCATGAGCTTTGGGTAATGACCGAAAGAACGAGATCGCGGATACAAGCGGCCGAAATGAGTTTCCTCCGTAGGGTGGCCGGGCTCAGCCTTAGAGATAGGGTGAGGAGCTCGGACATTCGGGAGGGACTCGGAGTAGAACCGCTGCTCCTCCGGATCGAAAGGAGCCAGTTGAGGTGGTTTGGGCATCTGGTCAGGATGCCTCCTGGACGCCTCCCTGGGGAGGTGTTTCGGGCATGTCCTGCTGGCAGGAGGCCCCCGGGTCGACCCAGGACACGTTGGAGAGGTTACATCTCCAATCTGGTCCGGGAACGCCTTGGGGTCCTGCTGGAGGAGCTGGTGGACAAGGCCGGGGAGAGGACGGCCTGGAGCTCCCTAGTTGGGATGCTGCCCCCGCGACCCGGACCCGGATAAGCGGAGGAAGACGAAGACGAAGATTACTTTAGAAATATTCTACAAGATTTAAAAAAAAAGTAGACAATTATTGTTAATCCATCACCGATCCAAGGCTTTTTTTAAAAAAATGTGTTCAATTCATCTTAAAGGTGTGGGACACTCGTTTAATCAGTACTGCTTGTCCCTAGTAGGAACAAATGCCTTGGAAGTCGCTCAGACGCCACATTAGAGGAGAGCAGGACACGGCAGGATTTTGCCTTATTTCCTCATATTTGAACATCTCACCTCTGATTGGTTGACACGACTCTAACTCTGACCATTTGCTCTGGGACATGGATGTTTTATCCCCACAAATAGCACAAGCCTGGAGGAGTTTTGCTGTGTGGTGAAGTTGCTAACGCTAACGGTTAGCTTCTCTGGTGTTTCCTGGACGCTAACGCAACAACAGCCTTCCCCGTCACTCGTCAAGATGGGTGAGTGTGTGAATGTTAAGTGTCGGTGTGGCGTAGATCTGTCGGGACTTTGACTTCCGCCGTCTATTTTCTATCAGACGCTAATGCAGGAGATCGGTGTAGGAGACTATTTTCACGTTCAGCCTGCATGAAAATCTCAGAAGGACCCATTAGAAACAGAAATAATCATTCTAAAGGGGTTTTCAGTGTTCCACACCCTAATGACACATTCAACTCTGAAAAACTGAAAGCATTTTTGTTGAATTAACACTTTGATGCATGAATTATGAAATCTTCAACCATGATTTTTTTCATTCATCTTTAGGTGTGAATGAAACAAATTTCATATTTACATATTTTTGTAACATTTAATCTACAAATAATTTATTACACGTCCACCTCAGTGGACAGCGTGCGTTCTGAACATGAAATATGTTGGCTTGACTTACTGAAGTCCAAATGGAGGGGCTCACATGCAATGAAGTCTTCAACAGCTGTGCTTAATAGCAAAAAAAGTAATAGTAATAACAATTTTGAGTACCTGTCCGCTGTAGTGACCATTATGCATCAAAGGGTTAAAGTAGTCACATGGTGGACAATATGATTTGAATGATTTAAATTAAGGAACTAAATTTACATTATTTTGAGGTCAATTTTGTTTTTTTCGTACTCTAAAATTTGATGTTTTGGGAGGCAGAAAAGCAGACTTTAAGATCCATCCATCCATTTTCATCCACTCATCTGGAGTCGGGTCGCGGGGGCAGTAGCCTAAGGCGAGAGGCCCAGACTTCCCTCTCCCCAGCCACCTGGGCCAGCTCCTCCGGCGGAATCCCAAGGCGTTCCCTGGCCAGGTGAGAGACATAGTCCCTCCAGCGTGTCCTGGGTCTACCTTTAGGTCTCCTCCCGGTTGGACGTGCCCGGAAAACCTCACCAGTGAGGCGTCCAGGAGGCATCCTGACCAGATGCCCGAGCCACCTCAACTGGCTCCTCTCGATGTGGAGAAGCAGCGGGTCTACTCCGAGCCCCTCCCGGATGACCAAGCTTCTCATCCTATCTCTAAGGGAGAGCCCAGCCTCTCTTCGGAGAAAACTCATTTCGGCCGCTTGTATCCGCGATCTCGTTCTTTCGGTCACTACCCAAAGCTCGTGACCATAGGTGAGGGTAGGAACGTAGATCGACCGGTAAATCGAGAGCTTCTCCTTCTGACTCAGCTCTCTCTTCACCACGACAGACCGGTACAACGCCCGCATCACTGCAGATGCAGCACCAATCCACCTATCGATCTCACGCTCCAGCTTTCCCTCACTCGTGAACAAGACCCCGAGATACTTAAACTCCTCCACTTGGGGCAGGACCTCATCCCTGACCCGGAGAAGGCATTCTACCCTTTTCCGAATCAAGACCATGGTCTCAGATTTAGAGGAGCTGATTCTCATCCCAGCTGCTTCACACTCGGCTGCGAACCGCTCCAGCGAAAGCTGAAGATCACGTTCTGATGAAGCCAACAGGACCACATCATCTGCAAAAAGCAGAGATGGTGGACCAGAATCTCCTCGAAGCGTACGGAAGTCTTGCTCCAGACTTTAAGATTTGACACATAAAAAAGGTTTTTAACATTTGCTCTAACAAATGAAAAGCATCAACTTTCCCAGATCTGATGGGCTGCTTGTTTTCTAGTTTCTGGGTCTTGTGCATAAATCCGAGTTTTTTATTATCAGCACCACGAGAAAAAGGCCTGATCCACTTTTTCTTTCCTAATGTTTCATGACTTTGGTCTCGTTTCCTGATCGATGCTTCTTAGTCAATGTTCGTGCTTCCATTTACCAGGAATTTAAAAGAAAAGCCAATTATGTGGGTATTAATAAATACTTGTTATTGCTTTAACCTTTTCCACCTTAAATTTTTAATCAGGCCTTAAATTTAAAATCTTAACATAAAAATTCTATCTGCGCCACCAGCCTGTGCTGACAGGCCCAAATTCTTTCTAAACCTCTCCTGTGATGAAACAGAACACCACAAGAAGAGAAAAGTCTATTTGACAGTCACATTTATTAAATACGCTGCACATGCATGCAGTATACACAGAAGGAATTAAACATTCATGGCTGTTCCTGTCTCCAAACCAAACCTGCTTTATGACATGAAGGTAACTGATGCAAATCCTGATGGATGAGCTGCCTGTGCCGTAGACCTGACGATCATCATGGATGAGTGTATGAAGTGTTCTGTGCACTTATGAAGTGTAAATAATAAATTCAAAAACAGGGTTTGCTTTTTGTTGAAGTCGGAGGTCTTAGACGTCTTCATCAGCCAAAATATTGCAGAAACAGCTTTTTGTTTGTCGTTTCTCTTTTTCCAAGCACCATTAGATGTCCGAACATGTCGTTTTTGAAGGTATGTATCGACCCGTGGTTCTGATTCTTCTTCATCCCAAAAAGATTAGAGAAGCTCATACAGGAAGGAGCTCAGGAGGACTCTCTCCGTAGCAGAACTTGGCCTGGGGGTTGCGGTAGGTGTTTTCATGTTGAACGCTCTACAGGAAAAAGGAAAATATTCTGCATAATTTCAAGTATTTCACGATTAAAGCTCCGTTTCAAAATGACTTTGTGGCGTACTTGTGAAGAGGTCCTACACTTGGCCAGGCACAACTCAAAGTGATCCTCTACAGCTGTGAAAAGATTCTGAAAACCTTTCGCTGCACGGTTCAGGAAGCGCTCGAGAAGGGGTTGCTGTAAGAGGACACAGAACGCATTAGGTGTAAACACAGATTGTAGTCCCATGATTTCGTAGCCTGAGTGTTTCAGAATGACACAACCAGTCACAAAGTTTACTGCCTCACCGTTCATGTTCGTGTGATTCTTTCATTTTGACCACAGTTGCATAAAATGCTGAATCAGAGGGATTCTTGTATTTACTGAACCTCTTTTTAAAGAGCAAGTCACCCCCAGATCAACTTATTTTTTTCCTGATAAACTATATGAATGTGTGTCTAATCGTGCTGCAGACACGTGTCGTCAATAGTTTTGCACTTTAGTGCATTTTAGTTCAAATTTAAATATTCTGCCTAAAACTGTCAGTGTTGCACCGTCGTCAGGCAAAAACTCAGCACTGCTTTTGAATTTAAATCTGCCATCGCTATTAGCTAAGAGGTACACTATGACGTTAGATGGTACATTATGATGTCACAATTTCGTGAGTGTGTATTTGTTACAGGCTCCGCCCTCTCGGTCTGCTTGGCAACAGCATTAGTTGCATTTTTCAAACAGGAAGTGGGAGTTGAGTAAGAATCTGGCAGGGGGTGACGCTCTTCAAAGAGCAAGTCACCACCAAATCAACTATTTTTTTCTGATAAACTACATAAATGTGTGTCTAATCGTGCTGCAGACACGTGTCGTCAATAGTTTCGCACTTTAGTGCATTCTAGTTAAAATTTAAATTTTCTGCCTGAAACTGTCAGTGTTGTGCCGTTGTCAGGTAAAAACTCTGCACTGGATTCAAATTTAAATCTGCCATTGCTATTGGCTAAGAGGTACACTATGACGTTAGATGGTACATTATGATGTCACAATGCCGTGAGTGTGTGTATTTGTTAGAGGCTCCGCCCTCTCGGTCTGCTTGGCAACAGCATTAGTTGCATTTTTCAAACAGGAAGTGGGAGTTGAGTAAGAATCTGGCAGGGGGTGACGCTCTTTAACAGGATGTCGCACATAGCTGGTTAAAGCTAATAATCTTTCAGATTTCTGATGTGACAGATTACCTTATCGGGCTGAAGGCAGCAAGACACGCAATACTCGTAGATGCTACAGCATCCGTTGGCCAGGCAGCTTTTACAAATGTACTGTCTCGCACTGGGAGCGTTGACATTACAGCAGCTGTTAACCAGCAGGTCTTTTCTCTCACAGACATAACCTGTAAAACATTAGCACCGACGCTGAGTACCATCATAGTCAATTACTGAGTCATAGGCGACGGTTACATCATTTACCAAGCTCGTCTGTGATCAGCGTCTTGCCCTGAATGGAATTTCTGCACTGAGTAATCTGTCGGCTGCTGTTGCCCAGATTAAAACGGACCTTCCAAGGGATGCGCTGGTCTGAATCTTTAACCTCTAGGAGCGTGCGGTCCCGTATGGCCCTCTCTTCCTGCAGAAATCCACAGGTGTGTCAAAAAAAAACTGAAAACGTCCCATTATTATTATTTTCCTGTCAGGATGTGAAAAGTGTTAAATATTGAAGACAGAGCAGAAGGCCTAAGGTTTTATGTACATTTATAAAGCAGACACTTCCATCCAAAGTGAAATAGCATTATTATAATTGTTAACCTAATATGCATGCACATATAAGGTGATCTTAAAGCCACTTACTTTAATATTTAACATTAATGACTAGAGCAGAATGCCAACTTTAATAGACATCTTGGTGTTTTGCATAGTTACATACGAAAATGACTAATTCCATGCAACATGGAACTAAAGGTCAAAGCACGCGCTGAGGTGCGAGTCTACCTGTTTGAGTGTGCTGGTGAGGAAGTAAATAAGGGAGAGTCCGAAGACGACCCCCAGCACCCAGCGCTTCCTCAGTAACCTCCGCAGCACCATCATATCATGACCTTTTGGGTGAAAATCCAAGTAACCTTCACGCTGCTCAAAAGTTTAAACTCCTCAACTGTCTTCAGTCTCAATCAACGCATAAAAATTGATTTTAAAATCACAAAAAACAGTAAATATAGTGCCTGCTGAACTGGAATCAGCTCGTCCTGTCGGTCCAAAACAATTAGCTCTAAAAACAACTGCGGGCTACGGACACATTATAGCTAACCCATGTTAAGCTTACGACTTGCAGTTATTTAAAATGAACGCTATGTGTTCGAGGACACTTACATTTAATGTAATTTATATTGTGACTTAAAACAGCAAAGGTGACAGAAGTTAGCAGCGTCTCATCGTAAAAGCCTGTTTTGTTAGCCTGCTGCTAGCTAGATGCTGCTAGCCTTCGCCTCTCGCTGATGCTAAAACGGAGCTAAAAACAGATTTCAACATGGCCTAAAGATTATGCTTAGTCTCTCATGTAGAAAAGCGACTCTATAATGTCAGCCACAACATTTAACAAGTAATAACGACGTAAGTTTTCGTTTCCTAGCGAAATTTGACATGAAGGATCAATAACAAAACACGGACGTGATCTTTATGGAAGACCGACGTGTATGGCATGCCGTTGAAGCATACATTCAAGTAACTCTGTGTCTCTCTTTTTAAAGTTAATTTGATCACATATTAGCCTGCTACTAGCTAATAGCATAAGTCTTGACACTCCCAGTCAAAATGACTGACTAACATTAAATGAAATAGCTATGTTAGAAGATAGCCATAATTACACTCCTTTTAGCTTGTATTTCAGATTCCATTCTCCCTTTTGGATGGGATGGATGCATTTAGTATATGTGTTACAGAAAGAACAAGATTAGGAAAAAAAACATAACTAATTGTGAGTTTCGATAGATTTAATATAAACAGGACAATGCTGAAATGTTCATTCGACTTGGAAGTCACCGTCTACCTATTATATGACAAATCGTGTTGCTAATTTTGACTGGAGCCGTAACCCTACGTCATACCGGAAGTTATTTTTACGGTACATCCTTAGCGTCTATCAAGCTATGTGGTTTTATGCTCACTATGGAAGGATTTGAAGCAAGTTGTCGTTCACTGCGCTGACTCAGGTAATTATTTGTCTGATTAAACCAAGCTGCTGATTAGCGATGGGTAGATGAGGCCTCGTGAAGCGTTTAGGCACGTTACCCAAAACTGTCTATTATTGTCAACACTGTGTCACTGTTTGTCTTCTGACACCGGCTGGATTATAAACATCGCTGCAGGCAGACCTAATAGCGAAACTCTACTGACATTTTCAGGGGTTGGATTGCGTGCTCATGATTTGGAGCTATATAATCAATTTTCCTCTGGGATTAATAAAGTATTTTTGAATTTGAATTGAATAAAGAAACTTGAATTAAATGAGGTCAGATTTTAAGACCAGTGACGTCTTAGCGCCACGACAAAAGACTGTCCAAAGAGTGCTCAGGTTTTGAAACCCCCGATTCTGAGAGCAAGTACGGCGTAGTCTCCTCACCTCAATCCCAAGATACACTGCGGGATATCACACAGATAGATATCAGATACATGAGCGTTTTTTTGGTTTTCAGTACCCTAAATTACTCATAACACGACGCTAATGTTAGTTGATACATTGGTAAGAGGTTTTAAGCTTAAAGAGCAAGTCACCCCCTACCAGAGTGTTTGAATGTTTTAAAAATGCAACAAATGCTGTTGCCTGGCGGACCGAGAGGGCGGAGCCACTAACAAATGCACACAGGCCCTTTCTCAACATGCATACTTGTCCGAACTTGTGTACTCGTGTACTTGTGAAACGTCATCAATGCTGGCCCAAGGACTGTTCCAATCCTAAGTATGTATAATTGCAAGTTTGCTCAAAGTTCCCGGATGTGTTGTTGCTCCGCCCATTGTATTGAGGCTGCATAAATATGTCCTTCTGCAGACTTAAGCCTGGGGCACACCGGAGGCAAGACGCGCAGCGTCGCGCCCGAAATTTTGAGGTCAAGTGCTCACAAAGGACACGCTGCTGAGTGCTTCTTGGAAAGTCGAGCGATAGTCACAACATCTACACAACACAACATCACATCTCCAGGGTTTCCCTTACATAGGCGTAGCCGTGGCGGCTCGCCATGGCTGAAATCCCACCGCCACGCCTACAAGATCCCAAGTTTTTCAGGGTTTTTTTGCGCTGTTTCCCGAAGAAGCAGCGGGAACTACTATGTTGTCGCTTGTGATCACAGCCGGCGGGCAGCAAGGAGGAGCAGGCAGGGCAAGGTGAAGTTACAGCATAAGTTACTGAGTTTAAAATTAGAAAGGTAGCAGTGGATATAATGCTTTTTGGTGTACATGTTTCAATAGCATTAAGATAAACGAGTGTTGACGATCTTGACAGGTTTCGGCCAGGTTTTCCTCCCCCCACCAGGCTAAGCATCACTTATTCATGTAAAATGTTTTTATTTTTTCATGTCTGACTTTAACCGCATCCAATACTGTATTACGATGTGAGCGCAACAGCGACAACTTAAGATCGATGTGTGAGCAGCCTGAGAGGTCGGGTGTTTTCATCTGAACCCTTAAAACCTCCAGCAGGCTTCGCTGCACTATTGACGTGTTAGCGCGCAGCGCTAACAACTTAGCGACATGACATGTCTCGGAGAAAACGTAAAAACACGTTGGACACTTCTTCTGAAGCAGGAAAATAACACTTCTTCTTAAAGAGCAAGTCAACCCCTACCAGTCTAACTCCACTCCCACTTCATGTTTGAAAAATGCAACAAATGCTGTTGCCTGGCAGACCGAGAGGGCGGAGCTTCTAACAAATACACACAGGCTCACAACAGCATTGTGACATCATAACGTACCAGTTTACATCATAGCATACCCCTTAGCCAATAGCGGTGGCAGATTTAAATAAAAATACAGTGCAGAGTTTTTACTTCTTAAGCAGAGCACGACGTCGCCTCGGCTCGTTCACCGCCGAGCCGTTGTCGGTACAAGATCTGCTCGGGGTCCGTCAACTGCAGATGACGTCAAAGTAGTTGACTGGCTGAACATGAACCTTACGGAGTTACGTGATCACGTTACGGCAGTCGTAGGACCCCGAGCCGATCTTGCACCCGAGCAGATCCTGTACCGACACCGGACTGAGCTCGATAACATTGACCCAGCACAGCCACTGGGTCGCTGGAGCTGCCCCGTGACTGCCTGATGGAAATCCAGCGGGTTTCATCCGACTCGTAAAGTTTCTTGTTTTTGCTGGGGACCCCCTGTATTTTACCGCTCCCTCCTGCAGTCTTCCCCTATTAACATTTAAAATGATTCTGTAAATTTGTGTATCAATAGAAAAAAATCTGCCTCTGCCAGCTGCAGTAAATGCAGTCTCCAAATAATAAATAAGAGGTGCATTCATCTGTGTATCTCCTTTAATCCGCATTAGTGATATTCTCAGCACCAGAACAGTGAAGCAAAGAAAGATTCCTGAGTTTGTTATAATTTTATTTATTAGGTGCATTTGACCTGTTCTATTTCTCTGAAATGAGATCAAATTAGTGCTTCTATGGGTTGTCTCCTCTCTGCACTAGAAAATGTTACTTTATTTAGAGACGTGGGGGAAACACTGAACTCTACTGTTTATACGTGATCAGACTTACCGTCGTGTTTTGTGATATTCAAATTCATTAAAAATGGGTTAGTACGCTATTTATTTGAGTATTTTAAGATCGATAGTACTTTAAAGTTATCAACACTGCTGCTGGGTTTGTGCCGTAAAGCCGTTCTGCGTCATAATGCGTGTTGTAAAGTACTCCACAATGCTGTACACAGCCACGGTGCTTGAGATGGAACTTGCGCCTTTCTTCAGCGCCTAGGCGCAGCGCTTCTGGGACGTGGCGTTTCCCGTGTGCCCACTCTCATCCCGTGTGCCCACTCTCATTAACTTAAAGGGCTTCTAAGTTCTATTTAACATGACAGCACAGGCGCAGCTCGTCCGCCTCCGGTGTGCCCTGGGCTTAACTCGTTCACTGCCAATGACAACTAAAGTCGTCATTTGCATTTTTTTTTACTGTGTGGGCATCGGAACGAGCCCCCATACCGTGAGAACAAACATCCCAGCTCTAAAGCCGGTCTTCATCCGCGTACGTCACACACCACGTGATCGGGAAGCAGAACATCCGTGTGTTAGGAGATCGTTTTGGGCCGCTGCTGTAAAAAAAGTGAGGAAACTTGTCTGCCGATCTCAATTCAACAAAGGATTGTGAAAGAACGGATAACGCTCAAAACGCGCAGATTCTTCCTGATGTAAGAGGTGAGTCTCCGCTTTGTTTTGTTTTTTTTGGCGTCAACATCATCCTAGCGCGCAACATTCTGTGACTCTTTAAAAAAACAGTAAAAACGGTGAGAAACGCTGGCAGCGAATGAGTTTAGGACAGCTGAGTTTCCCATAATGCATTGCGTCACAAACAGTTAAAATGGTAAATGGTCTGTATTTGATATAGCGCCTTCTAGAGTCCTGGAACCCCCCAAGGCGCTTTACAACACAACCATTCACCCATTCACACACTGGTGGGGATGAGCTACGATGTAGCCACAGCTGCCCTGGGGCGCACTGACAGAGGCGAGGCTGCCGAGCACTGGCGCCACCGGTCCCTCCGACCACCACCAGCAGGCAACGTGGGTTAAGTGTCTTGCCCAAGGACACAACGACAGCAACAGACTGAGCGGGGCTCGAACCTGCAACCTTCCGATTACGGGGCGAGCTCTTAACTCCTGTGCCACCGTCGCAAATTCTGAATGTTAGAGGAGAAAGCTAATAACTGTAATGTTTTACATTAGAAATACAAACAAAATAATATAAAGTTATGTGTTATTGTAAATAATTGTGTGTAAACTGTAAAATTTGCTGCGTGCGTTTGAGTTTCGCTCTTCACGTTATTCCAAAATGCTAATTAGCTAACCCCCTATCAAAATAAAAGCACCATAGTTCTGTTCTGATGAAAAATAAACTTTTTATTCATTAAAGAGCGAGAAATTCTAGTATTTTATTAGTTTGGATCAAAAGTGAGCCAAATATAATACAAGTACGTTTTCTTTGTAATTTTGTTATTTAAGGAACAATCTAGACTTTTATTTTTATGTCAAATTGTTTTTTTTAACTGTAGCAAGAAGCAGAGCTTGTTGCCTGGACACAATGGAGTACGGTTCTGTTCCAAAAGCCGTCCTCGTCCTCACGTACTCGGTAGTACAGACTTTCTAGTGTGCTTGCTAAGAACATGCTTGTCTAGTACACAAGAACGTATTGGCGTCCTTGAGAGACAGCCACACACAGGCTCACAATGACTGTTCTCCGGCAGACGATACGTTGGTAAGAGGTTTTAGGCTTAAAGAGCAAGTCACCCCCTACCAGAGTGTTTGAATGTTAGAAAAATGCAACAAAATGCCTGGCAGACCGTCCTAGTGTTCCTCTTAGCCAATAGCGATGGCAGATTTAAATGCAAATGCCCCTGACAACGGCGCAACACCGACAGTTTTAGGCAGAATATTTAAAGGTTGAAAATGGAACACTGACACTCTGGCGAACTCTAGTGTTCAGAGGTGGTATTGCAACAACAGGACTAATTTTTCCAGCCGTTGGGATGTTGGTTCACTGCTGACACGGTCCAGCACCGTGTTCAGAGACAAATGGTACAGGGTGAGGACTTTTACAACAGTATTTAACGTTAGAACGTCCTCTGGGGTCAGAATCAGCTGCCTGACTTGTCAAGTCTGCCATTTTACACAGTCCCAGCCTCGCCTTGCTGAGCAGACACTTTAGCGCAGCGGTGCCCTCTAGTGGCCGGTGGATGTGAACGTTAGCCCAGTGTCGTGCCTGAAAAAATCAAAATGTGATTATTTTGTTTGAAATAAAGCTTTTAAAGGAGAAACTGTACATTAATTCTGCACACTTCTAAACGCTCCGTGGAGGTTTATTTTTTAAATACAGCTTTTTATTAAAATGTTCCGTATTCTAACTAAATTTTAACTGAGATGCACTAAAGTGCCAAATCATGGACTACACATGTCGACAGCATGACTAGACACTCGTTTATATAGTTTATTCGGGGGTGACTTGCTCGTTAAATAGAAAACATGTGTGAGCTCCATTTCTGCAGCTTCTTCGTAGTGCAGTAGCAGTTGCTAGGCGACAGGAGGACATCTGCTGAAGTAGGGCGGGACAATTATTTAAGGCTAAACCGTCCATTGTGTTCAAATTCACAGCTGTTAACATCTGGTCTAACTGGTCAAGCCCAAGTCCCACTGTCCCGTTTACCCAGTGTGTGCTGGTCTGATCTGCACCCACCACGCACCGACCCCCCCCCCCCCCCCCCCCCGCTCTGACAGCCGATGGGATGGCCAAATTTCTGCATGCATGACTCACATTGATGACATTCTTTTATGAATGTATGAAAGTTCAGGTGCAGAAATGTGGCATTTAACCTGCAGAAAATAGTATGAACATTTAAAAGGAATCCTTTAGAAAAGCAGCGTAGTTGATCTACATAACTAGGATTTAACGCTGTTTGCTAAATCCTGAGAAAGATCAAACAATTTGGCTTATGAGCTTTTATTATACATAGATATCCACGGATATTTATATAATCGATAGAAGTTCATACACCAACTGGCTTGGTCTATATTTAATCCAAAGATTAATATTTAATTTAAGAGATTTAAATTAATAGCAAAAGTTTATTAGTTCAGAAGACTTAAAGAGATCTTTGCTCGTTCAGGGACCAAATGTACACCACTCCTGTGTTTCATTTCAAAGAAGAGTCAGGTTTAAAAAGTTAACAATTTATTACTAACAATTTAAAGATGACAATTTAAAAGACCATTCATAAATGACCATTTATAATACTTTAATATTAAAGCTTGGTATTAAAGCAACCTGCGTCTGGATGAAAACTAAAGTGAAGTGTGTGTGTTTGGATGTTTGGATGTAGTCTCAGAAGGTTTCTATCAGCGAGAGGAAACGCGTTCTGGGTGAAAGAGTTTGTTTTGCAGCTGAGCTAAGTTATTTAAAACAGGCATGCAGGCGCTATCTGTGTTCTACCTCACCGTTCAGACCACCCTCTGTTTGGATCCGGAGGTCAAGGGAGGATGTTGATCAGCCTCGGGGTACTCGGTCCGGTAGAGGAGACGTGGTACCGACTCTCTGGTCCTAGAGTTGCCGCAGGTACACAGGTAGATGGTTTTGCGTCTTAAATGAACTCTGAAGGAGTTTTGCGTCAGCTTGTTGCAGATGGCCTTTCTTGTTGAAGCAATTCTATCGGCGTGACAGAAAAGCTTTTAGTGGAGGTTTCGAGCGGCCGACCCGATCCTCTGGGACTCTCGTTGCCACGGAGAGACTTTGGTGAGCTTTAGAACTGAACTTGAACTGAGGAGTTTGGTTTTAACAAACCTCAGGACACGCCCTCTCAGAGATAGAAAGCTTTGTTGTTATGGAACAAAGACATGCGAGAGCAGTTACCTTTAACCTGATTACTGTGTCCTGCATGGTGTGTATAAGTGCACATGACCTTGTTTATACTGTTAAACATAACTGATTATCATAAATAATAATTATTATTATTAACCAAAGAATAATAATTCATTTCAGTAATGAAATACATTAATAATGAACCATGATGATTATTTATGAACCTTGTAATAAGACAGTGAAGAGTTTATTAAAAATGATTCTTTTAAATCTTGAAGCGTCCTTCGTCTTGCGGCTGGAACAGCAGTCAGATTAAAGATGGTTTACAGCAGACTTGTGTCTCCTGTGATGGATAATCTGTAGATAGAAGTACAGTCAGGACAGCGTGACCCAGCTGAGGAAGTGTGACCTTTGGGTCATAAATGAGGCCATTCATGTCGCTACAGAAACAAAATCCTTTTGGATCAAGCAGAAACTGAGAGGAACAGGATGAAACAGGGAAATAAAACAAATAAAAAGAATGAAATGATGCCTCACGGACCACCTTTTGTTTTCTTTCTGGCTCCATGATGGAATAATTTAGCTATAAGATGTACTTTTTGGCGGAAACCCAACTTGTTGACGGATGGAGACGCTCCTCCATTTAAACACGGTTCTGCACTTCACTGAAAAGCGAAACAGCAGCGGCATCGGTCACGTTACTACTTCCTGAATGACACGCGCATCGATGCGGGCTCTGGCTCTTTGAGATAGATGCATGCACCGACACATCAGTGCTGCTGGACCCATCACTGCTGCTGATGAGATGATGATTCATGTTGCAGGAGCGAACCATCATGTGGTGATGCCATGCAGCGGAGACACAGCAGCAACACGGATGGCATGCCCTCTGAAAGGTGGGCTAAGTAGCCTGCAAATGCTACTGTGCATGCACTTTCATCGTAGGAGAATTTTTTTTGTGCATTTGGTCCACAAAGCTCACCATTTATTTGTTTTGTTTGTTTGTTTGTTTACTCATCATGCACTGTATTTCTGTCCTGTCCAGAGTCCTTTAAAGTGATCAAGTACGTAGATGGTGGTCGAATGTTTATTGCATCATTTTAATGTTTGTTATCATCCTTTGTTTACTGACGGGGTCATATCTGAGACTTTTATTTTGAAGGTCAAAGCTGAGAACAGAATTCAGCTTGCTTCCATCTTCTGTTTGTTCCCATCCAGGACCCGAAGCCAAACTCTTGGATCGGAGAGCAGTCTGGATGAGGGTGGTGTGTTTGACTGCCTGAAGCCGGATTCCTCCACCTCAGCCCAGCAGATCTTCTCGGGCCTGGTGGGGGTCCCCTCCAGCTCCGTCTCACCGGCCCAGTTCCAGGCAGCCGGCTTAGTTTTGGGCTCCCCACCTGAGGTTTTCATCCAAATGGCTGCTTCTTCTAGAGAAGAAGGGGGAACCCATCGAGCGGAGGGCGGATCTTTCCTTGCCCGGCCACCGCCGCCGCACCACCACCATCACCACCACCACTTCCACCACCAGCCGCTGCAGCACAGGAACCCCTCTCTGCTCCAGCAGGCCACCACAGCGGCCAGCTCCGACAGGCACAGCTCCAGGGAGGAGGCCCAGGATGACCCGTCCACTCCGGCCCCGGCGTTGTCTGAGCTGAAGGCTGTGGTCAGCTGGCTGCAGAGGGGCTTCCCCTTCATCCTCATTCTTCTGGCTAAAGTCTGCTTTCAGCATAAATTAGGTAATCCATCCTGCATAGTAAAAACCAAGTGTTGTCCACTTGTTCAGTGATGATGTTCCCCTCCTCCCTGCAGGTATCGCTGTGTGCGTGGGGATGATCAGCACATTTGCTTATGCCAATTCCACGTTTAAGCACCAGGTGTCTCTGAGGGTAAGACGAACATAATCAGTTTTAAAGTCGGGTCAGACCCAGATGATCGCACATGCATGTAATAAACCATAAAGAAGATGTTCAATGTTTGTTTTTAACAAATCTCATTAAGGATCAGCGTTTTCCTTCCTGCAGAACACTTCCCACCTGAACATTTAGCCCTTCAACCAGAATCATCCAGGGCATAGGTCGCGTTCTGGGTGACTTTAAGCTGCAGATGCTCATTTCTCTAAAGTTGCTCGGCTTTCCCTTCACTTTTGTTCTAGGAGCAGCGCTCTGTGTTTGCAGCTCTGTGGATCCTCGTGTTCCTCACCGGGAACGTCGTGTACATCTTCTACACATTTGGTCAGGAGGAGCTGCACAACAGGTAAACAAACATCTATCTTTTTGTTTTTTTCACCGTATCTTTCTTTGTGTTTCCATCCATCCGTTCGTGATGGACCCTAGCCCAAACCCAAAACAAGCAGAAAGTAACTCTGAGAAACTTTTATTAGATAAGATCTGATTTTTTTAGAGATTAGAATCGGATGTTTATTTATTCTCACCTAAAATCTAGAAGAGTTTCGTTGTCATGTTTAAAAAACGTTTTGTTTCTGAATCATGAAAAAAAAAACAGCAAAAAAGTGTGGATATTTTTTAAATGAGATGCTGATTTTAGTGGGAAATGAATGAAAAACAAACATGAATACATCTAAAAATATTACTGGTACTTTTACTGTCGTTCTGTTGTGGAAAACATTGAATGAAAACGGTGAAAAGCTGCTTAAACCTGCATGTTTTAATTACTGTGGGCCGATCTGTGTTATTAAAATGATCAGAGCCACGACAGAGTCATGCTGTGTACTGTGAGAGGAAGTGTGGAACAGTAACGCTGTTGCTGTTTGCTTCTTCATGTTGAGTTCAAATAAAATATGTACAAGAAATATATGAAATAATGAGAATATTATTAGATGTATATGTGACAGTGGTGTTAGGGCTAAAAGGCAGATATACGTGTTTTTTCTCATTACATTGGAACTTCACGTTGAGTATCTCTGTCCCACATTTGGCAAGTTGGGATCTGGTCTCCCCATGGGTCTCCCGAGTCTGTGGTGGTAACCGTTCTAGTGAATATTGTATTTTCATGTTTTTCGAGATTCATTGAGTAGTTTCCCTCCTTTTTTGGTGAAATGTTTGATGATCCAGCAGCAACATCCTTTTAAGGGGGTATTTTAAATTTGTTTCCTTCCAGCCTGATCTTTGCAAAGCCCAATCTCAACAGTTCTGACTTCTTCGATCTCATCTGGATGGTGGGAATAACCGACTTTGTCCTTAAGTATGTCACCATCAGCCTGAAGTGCTTCGTTCTCTTCCTGCCCAAGATCCTCATGGCTTTCAAGTCCAGGGTAAGGATGTGTTATTTATTTATTTATTTATTTATGTAATGGCTTTATTTGTTCTTCCCATTTTTGTCACTTTTTACAAATAATTACCATCGACATATAAATATTGGACAATGGGTTTCCATAGACTCCAATAACACATTTTTTGAAGATAAATGGGAGGTGGCCACCACCGCCATTTTGACCGTGTCACAGGTTCCGTCAAGCCCAGACAATTCCACAAAAGGGAAGAGAGGAGGAGCTGAGGGTGGGGCTGTAAGGCTGGGATCAACTGACGACACCCGGTCAAACTAGCTACAAGCTAACCTGAAGCTAACGCGGAGGTGGGAGCTAAGCCAACGGAGGTAGCAACCTAGCTACAACCGGAGTTAACTGTGCACAGCACCAGAGCTCCTGAGTCAGAGATACGCCGGGCTGACCGCTGGGTAGAACCGGGTGGAACACATCGGTCTCCCGAGAGCTCCACAAGCCGATAGTGGGAACCCAGCTCCACCAACATGTTATATTTCAACCCATTTTCTAAAGAGCAGCATTATGTTAAATGCACTGGGTTTTACCCTATTACATTTAAATTTCATGGTTAAACAGTACATGTTAAAATCTAAGCTCAGCTCGGCAGTGACCTAAAATACATAAATATAATTTTACTGACCGAAAAAATGAAGTGGAGACTCCTTGGACGCTCTATTAGTGCAATTAATGCCACAGCAAGTCATTTTGTCCAACAATTGCACAAAAAATATCCAAAAAAGAATACACAAACGCCCACGAAGGAAGGAATGCAGACAGATGCTGTGAAAACCTGACCAACCCTCCCCACCCCTGTAGCAGCCCACTTGGAATAACCACGCAAGATGCAGAGAGCTTCGACTGGTGCAACTTTAATCCTCTCCTTCTCTCACCTCGCATTATGACACCGTGAAAACTATATGAACAGAAAATACAAATCTCACAGTACCATAATATTTCCACAAATAATGCATAGAAATCATGTTTGCATTTTAAACTTAACACAAACAATTTTAGTAAACAAATAAGGAATTTTACATGAAAGTAGCCGTTTTTAGCCGTTATAAGTTGCAGTTCTTATTTAAATAAAATAATGACAGTTTCCTTCCATTTGAAATCAAATGAACAACTCATTTCACACTGAATACACCATCAGTCTCCCCCTACCTCCTTCTGCTTCCAAGGGCGCTAAGTTTGAGCTCAGCCTGCTAGCAGCCTATCTTCCACACTTCACAGTGATGTTCCTTAAACATGACATACAAACGGCTCAAATATGAAGCGAACCACTGTAAAATACCCTTTCACAAGTTTCCATGTAGAATATGACAAATAAATAACATATTTGCATGTTTTACCAACTCTGGAGCAACACGAGCATGTCGTTATGATGAGCCGGGAGCAGAATGTTTAACGTATACAACAGCAAGTAGTAGAAGAACAGGAAGTAGTAGAAGAAGAGGGGGTGCTCTTCAAAATAAAAGCACAAAAAGTAAAGTGACAGAACTGCATTGTTTACTACGAACATCATTTGCTGCCATTTACAACCCCCACCCCCTGCCTTCGGATTGGTGGACTTCAGCCTGGCGAGGTCATCAACCTGCAGGAGTCAATGTACTCTGCGCTCCTCCTGAGATCTCCCTCCCACCTGTGACTGTACAGTAGATGAGCGCCGTAGATGGCTGCTCTCGCTGGGGGAAACAGGATACGCGCCTTCCTATTGGAGTCTCATGTTGTGTTGTCTGAAGTCTGTTGCATATTTGTTGAGGTGTTTTTTTACAGAGCAAAGCTGTCCTCCTGGTGGGAGGGTAGCTGTGAAGTGCCGTTTTTTTCCCCTCCTCCCGAATCGATTCCTCATGTAACCCTCTGATCTCTATTAAGGTAGAGCGACTCAGGGTTGCGAATAACCACAGTCACCAATTCTTGTCATGTGTCTTGCCCATGTATGTCTGATCCCTGAATTGTGTGTACTGAAACTCTAATTTCCCTCTGGGATTAATAAAGTATCTTTGATTGATTGAAACTCAAAATCCCGGAGCAGTTTCCAGGCCAGACCGAGGCTCTACTGAGGCCTTTCCACGGAGCTAGCTCTGTGGTCACGTGGGTCTGATGCTCATTAATTATACAGAATTTTAGGCTTTTAATACACTTAAACAGAAGAGTGAGAAAAACATTCACCCCCCTCAGAGTTGTCATGAGTGTAAACTAGATCATTTAAACCATAAACATATTTTGGTACCAGGCTGTAAACATGTTTATTTCTGCTGTGAAATTGGTATTTTTAACATGGGAGTCAATGAGGATTTGCTCGCTTCCGACACCAGCCCCTAGTGGATGAGGGTGGAACTGCAATGTATTTCATTTCCGGGTTTGCTTCAATTTTTCACCCGCATTGTGGGGGCTTGATAATGACTCATTTTATTTGTGCTTGAAATGTGGAAATTTCAAGAATCCTGACTAGCTCCAACCTCAAAACCCAAAAGGACTACCTGTGCATGAAATTCTGCGCTAACTGCAGTAATAAACTTTTTTATTTGAACGTCTTTCAGGTTTTTTTTAGGGTTTTATTTTGTCGTAATAATTCCTGATCGTTTTCAATGTCGTCTCTCGTCTCATTGCAGCTTCTGTCTACTCGCTTCATGTTTTCTGTTGTTCAGCTGAAGGTTTCGATTGTTCCACAAAAGCTCAAACTCCGAGCTGTTAAGAGCTCCCGATGTGGGAAAAAGGAATTTACTGAACTATGATGGAAAACCTCTCGAGTGTAAAACGTGCCAAAGGGTCACAGTGTGAAGCTGTTCTGTATTCATAAGGTTTTAAACTCTGTGTGTGTGTGTGTGTGTGTGTGTGTGTGTGTGTGTGTGTGTGTGTGTGTGTGTGTGTGTGTGTGTGTGTGTGTGTGTGTGTGTGTGTGTGTGTGTGTGTGTCTACTACAGAGATTTCTAGAGCCTGAAGCAACATAACCACAAACACACAAAGTAATTTCCATACAGGTGCAGTTAATGCTGATGTGTGTGTTTGAGATGGGATGCACAGGAGGTGTGTGTGCGTGTGCGTGTGCGCGTGCGCGCGCGTGTGTGTGTGTGTGTGTGTGTGTGTGTGGTCAGGTTATGGAGTAGATTACATTTTCCACTGATAAACAAACCTGGAGGCAGATCAAAACTGAGCTCATTAGCCCTCCAGGAGTTAGAGAGGTTAGGTCATCCCTCTGTGGAGCTGGCCCATTACCTGTATCCTCATATTACACACACACACACACACACACACACACACACACACACTTTAAAGTGTTCAGGAGTAAAAAATCAAATAGGCTCGCAATTTAGATGATTAATGAAGCAGATAAGAATGAAGTGCTGCCTAATCTAAAACATGTCACACACACACACACACACACACACACACACACACACACACACACACACACACACACACACACACACGGTCATAAATAAATAAAAAACAAGCAGGGAAATGCTCAAACAGCCTGCAGTGAGCCAGAGCTGCTGGCTTGAGTCCAAACTCTAAATTTGACGGTGGTGCGTGGGTGTGATGGACACGGTGGGATGCGAGGCAAACAGAACAATAAGGAAGATGAATTATCAGCTAGCAGAGGTCTCGCTCCCCTACCGTCCTCGGCTGCTTGTGCCTTTTTACCAACAGTCATCCATCTCTGTCTCTGCTCACGCCTGAAGTCATTAAGCACGGGGCCATCGGGGAATCAAGTTCAATTGAAACGCCTCCGTTTTTAACTGTCCCCTGTTCACTTAACGCACTTCTGCAGCAGCGGGGACGGTTTCTCCTCTATGATTACGGTCGGGAAAGCCCTTCGGTGGCGGGCCCCCGTAAGGCTGGGCTTAACGTGGGCGCTGGGGCAGCAGGTGGAAAGAGGTGCTGCCAGTTTCCCTCGCAGTGAGGGGAGATTGCCTGTGCTGCTGAGATCTGGATGGCGGCCATGTTTGGGCCGGAGGTGTGCTGTTTTAAGCTTTTAATACCACACTGCTCTTCACTAGATAGAAGAAGGCCCCGCAGCTGCTGAGTTTATTCTGGAAGTCCGTAGAAAGTCTTGTGTTCATGTTTGGGGTTTAAATGGGTTTGTTCATCCAGGGGAAGTTCTACCTGCTGATCGAGGAGCTGAGCCAGCTGTTTCGGGCTCTCGTGCCCATCCAGTTGTGGTACAAGTACATCATGGGAGAAGATCCCTCGAACAGCTACTTCCTGGGGGCCACACTCATCATCATCTACAGCCTCTGCAAGGTACTCGACCCGTTGATCTGTACATTTATGTTGTTTAAAGGGTAGGAGTGCCTGGAGAAGGCGAGTCAAGCCAGCTACAGCCCTGGCTTTCCCACAATCCCTGGCGGGGCGCTCCTCTTGCCTCCCGACTGCTCTGCTACGCATGTCCTTGTCTGGTACCCCCACCTCCCTCCCCCCTCGACTCAGAGGTTCTCCGTTGGGGATTCGAGCCGCTAACCCCTCGTTCTCCCTCGAACGAATTCGCCTGACGCTCTTTTGCCACGTTGAGCTCGGCGTCCTTGTGACAACCTTGGAGCACTTCTGGATGGATCCCGAGCCAATCACTAAACCTGGGGCACACCGGAGGTGGACACACCGCGCCGCGCCGCACCCGCGATTTGAGAAGTCAAGTGGTCACACAGGACGCGCTGAAAGTCACGCGATAGTCACAACATCACGCAGGACTTGAGAACAGGAAGTGACTCTATTGTTTACACGCGATCAAACTTGCCGTCATGTTTTGTGAGACTAATTCAACACCAGTCCTTTAACCCTCCCACTGTCCTAACGGGTGTGACCCCGCGAGGAGCGAGCACCACCTCACCCCTGTCACGTGGACCTGAAGGGATAAACCATCAGTCCTGCTCAATGGTCACCTTTCCTGGTGGGGTCACCCCCGTTAGGACAGTGGGAGGGTTAAGGTCATCAAAACTGAGGTTCTGTTTGTGACGCGGTGCGGGCGCGACACGACGCCTCCGGTGTGCCCCGGGCTTAAGGATGGGACACTCACAGTGATTGGATGATGTTTTTCCAAGATTTTACGTTTCAGAGGCAACAAAAATTATGATTTTTTTAAATGTATTTGTTGCCATTGGGACGTGACGAGCATTTCAACCAATGTGGCAGAAAAGCTCCAGGTGAACGTCTCCTACTACACCTTTAAAGGTACCCACCTCCAAGTGCACGTCTCCTACTGCACCTTTAAAGGTACCCACCTCCAAGTGCACATCTCCTACTGCACCTTTAAAGGTACCCACCTCCAAGTGCACATCTCCTACTGCACCTTTAAAGGTACCCACCTCCAAGTGCACATCTCCTACTGCACCTTTAAAGGTACCCACCTCCAAGTGCACGTCTCCTACTGCACCTTTAAAGGTACCCACCTCCAAGTGCACATCTCCTACTGCACCTTTAAAGGTACCCACCTCCAAGTGCACATCTCCTACTGCACCTTTAAAGGTACCCACCTCCAAGTGCACATCTCCTACTGCACCTTTAAAGGTACCCACCTCCAAGTGCACATCTCCTACTGCACCTTTAAAGGTACCCACCTCCAAGTGCACATCTCCTACTGCACCTTTAAAGGTACCCACCTCCAAGTGCACATCTCCTACTGCACCTTTAAAGGTACCCACCTCCAAGTGCACATCTCCTACTGCACCTTTAAAGGTACCCACCTCCAAGTGCACATCTCCTACTGCACCTTTAAAGGTACCCACCTCCAAGTGCACATCTCCTACTGCACCTTTAAAGGTACCCACCTCCAAGTGCACATCTCTTACTGCACCTTTAAGGGTACCCACCTCCAAGTGCACATCTCCTACTGCACCTTTAAAGGGACCCACCTCCAAGTGCACATCTCCTACTGCACCTTTAAAGGGACCCACCTCCAAGTGCACATCTCCTACTGCACCTTTAAAGGGACCCACCTCCAAGTGCACATCTCCTACTGCACCTTTAAGGGTACCCACCTCCAAGTGCACATCTCCTACTGCACCTTTAAGGGTACCCACCTCCAAGTGCACATCTCCTACTGCACCTTTAAGGGTACCCACCTCCAAGTGCACATCTCCTACTGCACCTTTAAAGGTACCCACCTCCAAGTGCACATCTCCTACTGCACCTTTAAAGGTACCCACCTCCAAGTGCACATCTCCTACTACACCTTTAAAGGTACCCACCTCCAAGTGCACATCTCCTACAACACCTTTAAAGGTACCCACCTCCAAGTGCACATCTCCTACTACACCTTTAAAGGTACCCACCTCCAAGTGCACATCTCCTACTACACCTTTAAAGGTACCCACCTCCAAGTGCACATCTCCTACTACACCTTTAAAGGTACCCACCTCCAAGTGCACATCTCCTACTACACCTTTAAAGGTACCCACCTCCAAGTGCACATCTCCTACTACACCTTTAAAGGTACCCACCTCCAAGTGCACATCTCCTACTGCACCTTTAAAGGTACCCACCTCCAAGTGCACATCTCCTACTGCACCTTTAAAGGTACCCACCTCCAAGTGCACATCTCCTACTGCACCTTTAAAGGTACCCACCTCCAAGTGCACATCTCCTACTGCACCTTTAAAGGTACCCACCTCCAAGTGCACATCTCCTACTGCACCTTTAAAGGTACCCACCTCCAAGTGCACATCTCCTACTGCACCTTTAAAGGTACCCACCTCCAAGTGCACATCTCCTACTGCACCTTTAAAGGTACCCACCTCCAAGTGCACATCTCTTACTGCACCTTTAAAGGTACCCACCTCCAAGTGCACATCTCTTACTGCACCTTTAAGGGTACCCACCTCCAAGTGCACATCTCTTACTGCACCTTTAAGGGTACCCACCTCCAAGTGCACATCTCCTACTGCACCTTTAAGGGTACCCACCTCCACGTGCACATCTCCTACTGCACCTTTAAGGGTACCCACCTCCACGTGCACATCTCCTACTGCACCTTTAAGGGTACCCACCTCCAAGTGCACATCTCCTACTGCACCTTTAAGGGTACCCACCTCCAAGTGCACATCTCCTACTGCACCTTTAAGGGTACCCACCTCCAAGTGCACATCTCCTACTGCACCTTTAAGGGTACCCACCTCCAAGTGCACATCTCCTACTACACCTTTAAAGGTACCCACCTCCAAGTGCACATCTCCTACTACACCTTTAAAGGTACCCACCTCCAAGTGCACATCTCCTACTGCACCTTTAAAGGTACCCACCTCCAAGTGCACATCTCCTACTGCACCTTTAAAGGTACCCACCTCCAAGTGCACATCTCCTACTGCACCTTTAAAGGTACCCACCTCCAAGTGCACATCTCCTACTGCACCTTTAAGGGTACCCACCTCCAAGTGCACATCTCCTACTGCACCTTTAAGGGTACCCACCTCCAAGTGCACATCTCCTACTGCACCTTTAAGGGTACCCACCTCCAAGTGCACATCTCCTACTGCACCTTTAAGGGTACCCACCTCCAAGTGCACATCTCCTACTGCACCTTTAAGGGTACCCACCTCCAAGTGCACATCTCCTACTGCACCTTTAAAGGTACCCACCTCCAAGTGCACATCTCCTACTGCACCTTTAAAGGTACCCACCTCCAAGTGCACATCTCCTACTACACCTTTAAAGGTACCCACCTCCAAGTGCACATCTCCTACTACACCTTTAAAGGTACCCACCTCCAAGTGCACATCTCCTACTACACCTTTAAAGGTACCCACCTCCAAGTGCACATCTCCTACAACACCTTTAAAGGTACCCACCTCCAAGTGCACATCTCCTACTACACCTTTAATGGTACCCACCTCCAAGTGCACATCTCCTACTACACCTTTAAGGGTACCCACCTCCAAGTGCACATCTCCTACTGCACCTTTAAGGGTACCCACCTCCAAGTGCACATCTCCTACTGCACCTTTAAGGGTACCCACCTCCAAGTGCACATCTCCTACTGCACCTTTAAGGGTACCCACCTCCAAGTGCACATCTCCTACTGCACCTTTAAGGGTACCCACCTCCAAGTGCACATCTCCTACTGCACCTTTAAAGGTACCCACCTCCAAGTGCACATCTCCTACTGCACCTTTAAAGGTACCCACCTCCAAGTGCACATCTCCTACTGCACCTTTAAAGGTACCCACCTCCAAGTGCACATCTCCTACTGCACCTTTAAAGGTACCCACCTCCAAGTGCACATCTCCTACTGCACCTTTAAAGGTACCCACCTCCAAGTGCACATCTCCTACTGCACCTTTAAAGGTACCCACCTCCAAGTGCACATCTCCTACTGCACCTTTAAAGGTACCCACCTCCAAGTGCACATCTCCTACTGCACCTTTAAGGGTACCCACCTCCAATTGCACATCTCCTACTGCACCTTTAAGGGTACCCACCTCCAAGTGCACATCTCCTACTACACCTTTAAAGGTACCCACCTCCAAGTGCACATCTCCTACTACACCTTTAAAGGTACCCACCTCCAAGTGCACATCTCCTACTACACCTTTAAAGGTACCCACCTCCAAGTGCACATCTCCTACTACACCTTTAAGGGTACCCACCTCCAAGTGCACATCTCCTACTACACCTTTAAGGGTACCCACCTCCAAGTGCACATCTCCTACTACACCTTTAAGGGTACCCACCTCCAAGTGCACACTCTAAACTGCAATGTTGACTTTACACGTATCTTTAACCTTTTGTATTAAATTTGTCAGAAAATTAGATTAAAAACTGCTTTTATTTGCTGTTTGATAAAGTTGTCGGCTCTAATCCCATGGTAAGTAATTTGGAAAAAGAAAAAAATCCGGCACGTTGTTTAAATAGTTTTTTTTTTTTGCTCCAAGGTGCCAAAAGCAAGCGACTCATTGGCAGAGCTGCAGCTCTCCAGGCACAGACATCCAAATTAAATAGCTGCTTCTGTTGCTCGTGCAGAGATAATCAGTCATGCAGGTTTTTACCTGATCCTGCAAACACGTGAAGAAACGTAACCTTCTGGTGTGCAGGTCAGCGTCCCGGGATTAACATAATCCCTCAGCACGCTTCAGAGTTGGCAGTTTAAGACAAAGCTAACTCGCTGATACGGTTAAATCCTTGTAAGAGTAAACATTGAGAGAATCTGTGGGAATAAAAGAAGAAGTTGCAAAACTTCCGTAGAAGGTCACAGTTCGGTCAGATTATTTTTAAAAAGGGAACCTTTACGTGGATTTAGGAAGCTGATGTAATGGAACCTGAGGGTGAATCCCTGGATGATGCAAGCATTATTTTTACAGTGAAATCTTTATTGATCTGCTTAAAAGCTGTGAATCAGGACCTTTTGCTATGAATCATTCAGCGGTTCTTGTTGACGAGGACCGTTTCCCGTTTGCGTCGGTGTTCAGCCGAGGTGTTTTCCAAATCCAGCCCATGTTAGAACGCTGATCTCCTGCTGAGTCACCGTTGTCACCACGTTTGTTTAGACAAACAGAAAGCTGCAAAAAATGCAAATGCATAAAAATGAACATCATGGTTACATGTTTTGCTTTGTGACTTAAAAGCTTGTTGTCCTCTCTGATCGGCAGTCCTTTGACATTTGTGGACGAGTGTCTGCCGTACGGAAGGCCGTGGCCGTGCTCTGCAGCTCCCAGGTCAGACTCTGATAAATCAAATGTTCTTCACACATTCAGCGATGGAGGATGTTGTAGACAAGAAGAACTCACATGACTTAGAAAAATGCATGTGTGTGTGTTTGTTTTGTTTTTTAAACTCGTGTAGATCTACGGAGTGAGGGCCAGCAGTCAGCAGTGCAGCGAGGCAGGTGATGTCTGCGCCATCTGTCAGGCCGACTTCAAAGACCCCGTCGCTCTTATCTGTCAGGTGAGTGGCTGAAAAAATCAATTTAAAGTACCGATGATGATCAGTAGCAAAAGCAGTCATTTACTGCCCCCTGCTGATTAAAGTGAGCAGTTAAGCACCTTTAGTCCACTGGTCCCCAAACTTTTCATCCTTTTACCCATAAAGGGCTGTTAAAGAAGTGTGTGAGCTCATTTATCCCCAACTAAAGGATAAGAAGGTTACTAATAATATGCAATTAAACAAAGATTAAAAACATTAACTTATATTTTACCAATTGTATCCATTTGTAATCATTGTTTTTAGCGTTTTTCTGCTCATTTGCATACAACAAAAGTAAAAATAAACGTTAACCTTGATTAAAGCTAAATGTATTACTCTGTGTTTTAGTGATAAAGCCTGAATCTGACTCTTTCAGTGACAAAAACTATCTGGTCTGCAATTGGTCATTTTAATACTTTAATTGCTCCGTGGTGTTAAAATAATCAGGTTTATATAATTAAAGTGCTCATAAAGAACCAGTTTTTGTTGTTTTATCTCTTATATTTGATTTTATTATTGAAAACAAGCCTTAATAACAGCGTTGGACACCAGCACTCTAAAAAACCACAACACCCCACTGGAGGAATTAGGGTTAGGGTTTGATCCATTAAAACCAACGACTGGTCAGGTGGGGTCTGGATGGAGTGCGTGGATCAGCGGCTGGTCGGGTTAGGGTTCCTGTGTAAATCACATCTATGGATGGAAACGTGAGTCGTTGTGTCCCTCTGCAGCACGTGTTCTGCGAGGAGTGCCTGTGTTTGTGGTTCGACCGCGAGAGGACGTGTCCGCTGTGCCGCTCGACCATCACGGAGACGCTGCGGTGCTGGAAGGACGGCACCACCTCGGCTCACTTCCAGATCTACTGAACTCCAACGTTTGTGCAATCGGTTTGTTGTGTGAAGCAAACTAGACAACAGCGTGGTTAGAACGACAAACGAGTTGTTTTAATAGAAAGTTTTACTCAACTGACGTGATAAAATGTGCTTTGATTTATTGGGAAGTAGACGATATTCTCACGTACAGTTATTTTTGTTTTTATTCTACAGCTGATAAATGTACTTTCAAATGTCTTTTTTTCATTTGAATAAAATGTCTTTAAAAGATTATTAGTAACACTTGAACACGGTAGAATTAAAGGACAGCTCCGCGTGACTTTGTTGAAGAAAAGTGTTTAATAAGATTGTTAGAAACCCATTAGAAATATTCCACAGATAAAAAAGCACAGTTGGTTTATAAAACACATGAATATATAAGAGTAAGCTTATTTCCAGGGTCACAGACAGCTTTAAAAACACAGGTCCAGCATTTGATGATAAAAACGTGACAGGTTGGTAATGTAAGCACACAGATTATCCAAACACTGTAAAAACACATATAAAACCATCAGTATTTACATGTTTGCACTAGCTTATGTGTATTTATAAAAGTACAGTGCATTCTGGAGCTTATGGTTTTCAGTGCATCACCTGCAGTCGCCTTAAATCCTGCAGGTGTGTTGATGCTGACGCTCCCAGAGAACATCCAGAGGCGCATCATTACTAAGGTTTTCCTCCGTGCTGCCAGGGGAGGATTACATCACCCTTCTGTTTTGTAGATGGGATGGCAGAGTGGGCTGGTCGCGCGGGGGAAGGACTGGCTGATTGTTCTGGTTCCTTCTGTCAGCTCCCACTGCCGCTTCTGCAGTCAGCGCGCATCTTCCTCAGGAGCGCATCTTCCAACTCTCCCGCATCCGTGGCTTTAAGTGCAAATGCGCCAGTCGCTTCTCCGCATGCGCAAACATAAAGGCACCATCTACAATGAGACATACATAGCAATAGCGTTTCACTGAAACGATGCACTCTAAATGTTTTGTATGAAAGCATCAGGATGCCAGTGGAAAGTATGCATAATTAAGTCAACTCATAATTATTATTATTAGTTATTATTGGCTTATAAATAAGGATTTTGTAGTTTACTAAGAAAAACTGGCCTTGAGATGGCAAAATTACTCCAGCTTATCGTGAACTGTTAGTGGCAGATGGTTCAATCTTTGTAATGACCACTGAGAAAACTACAATTATGTTTAAAGCTACCTTAAAAACAAGAATTAATGCTTAATATTACAAATTACATCCTCTTGTCAATACTTTTGTTTATTAGTGGTGTCATTTGTGTTTTGTGATTTTATTATTTTAAAACATAGTTTGAATCTTTTTAATTTATGTGCAATCAAACAAATCGGATTGTGACGTTTCATGATAAACATGCCCAACATCACCTCTTAGTAACAAACAACTAAACAAAAACAATCCGGGTAAAAACTAACGTTCCACCCTGGACGGTGCGCTTCCTGACTCCCTCACCTGTTGCTGGTGTGGCAGTCTCGCGCCCTACAGGTGTCGCCTCGCGCCAAACAGCACGAGCAAGGCGACGTGCACCGCCAGACACAGGAAGCTCTTTAAATGGCCTCGCCCGGTAACCACCACCATCCCCCGGTCCCAACAGCGGAAGCCGACCTCCGTCTCCCGGGCCGTCCAGCTCATCTCCACCTGGTCTCCGATCATCCGCAGGCGCGAGGCGAACAGCTTAGCCACGGAGCACGCGGAGGGTCGGCGCGCGCGCGCGCTGCAGCTGAGATCACCTGGCCACAGCAGAGGCTGGTCTGTCGGCAGCCAGCACATCTTCTCGGACTGAACAGCAGCTCGGTTCTTCTGTCTCTGAAGTGTCTTTTAAGGGCACGCGACCCTCCTCCTCCCCCCTCGTCAAACCTGTGCGTTCCCAGACTCCCCCACCTCCCTCTACTGTATTATTCATTACAGTGTCACGTGGTTTAAAGGGTTTACATCATCTTTTCCAGACGGGAGATGAAATGGTTAAATCTCCAATCCCTCCAGTTTGGTTTCATCTGATGAGTCTTTTGTCCGAGAGGAAAGGACAACGCGTCCTCCCGCAGAGGACCTCTGAAGAGGCTGATCTTTAGTTGAAACCACTTCTCACACTAGTTACACTTATTTTATGTTCTACGTCTGACTTTTCAACTTATAAATAACGAAGTTATCACAGGAATAAAACGCTTAAAATGAAATAGCGGAATTAAAAGACGGCGGAACTAATGTAGCGGACATTATTCCGCCTCGGACTGTTTTTAGAGTAGGACTGGGTTGTTTTTATGTCGGTGCCGAAAGTACTTTATCGCTACTGCCCTGAAACACTAAACTCTCTACTATAAACGTATTTTCTTTGTTCATAACATTACGACCTGGTGTTCAGTCAACAATGACATGGAGGAGAACGAGCTTGCTGCGTTCAGGGAGCGTTGGAAACAAGAGTTGAGCGGTAAAAATGAAGATAATCGACACGTTTGTGCTGCTTCTTCCTCCCGAGGCGTTTCTAACCAGTTAAGGAAGACAGGTGATGGGCAAAAGGATGAGACAGACACGAAGGATCAGCCCGAGTATGTGTCCATCGCACGCAGTCTGCTGGACGGGAGGACCAGTCCTCTGCTGGACAGGATTCAGGAGGAGAGAACCAGGAGGAAGAGGCTGTACCATCACATCACCGACGCCTGCAGCGCATCCCTGCAGCTGCAGAAACAGCCTGAGAGGAAGCAGAAAAAGGAAGAGGAGCTGGTGGATCAGCTGATCCACGATCTGGTAGGATGGTGTTGACGGTGTAGTCTAACAGAAATAGCCAACCTGTAATGTTCACTCGTTCATTCTCTCACAGAATGAAGTCAATGACATCCCCTTCTTTGACATCGAGTTGCCGTACGAGTTAGCCCTGAAGATATTCCAGTACCTCAACCGTGTTGAACTCGGCCGCTGTGCTCAGGTGAGCTCAGGTGAAGGAACCAGGCACAGAAACGTGTTTAAAAAGTAGTTTGAACTTACAGGTGCTGGCCAGTAAATTAGAATATCATCAAAAGGTTGAAAATATTTCAGTAATTCCATTCAAAACGTGAAACTTGTACATTATATTCATGCAATGCACACAGACCAATGTATTTCCAATGTTCATTACATTTAAATTTGATATTTATAGGTGACAACCAATGAAAACATCAAATCTGGTATCTCAGAAAATTAGAATATTCTAAAGGCCAATGAAAAAATGTTTGTTTCTCTAATGTTGGCCAACTGAAAAGAATGAACATGAAAAGAATGTGCATGTATAGCACTCAATACTTAGTCGGGGCTCCTTTTGCCTCAATAACTGCAGTAATGCGGCGTGGCATGGACTCGATCAGTCTGTGGCACTGCTCAGGTGTTATGAGAGCCCAGGTTGCTCTGATAGTCGTCTTCAGCTCCTCTGCATTGTTGGGTCTAGCGTATTGCATCCTCCGCTTCACAATACCCCATAGATTTTCTATGGGGTTAAGGTCAGGCGAGTTTGCTGGCCAATCAAGGACAGGGATACCATGGTCCTTGAACCAGGTGCTGGTGGTTTTGGCACTGTGTGCAGGTGCCAAGTCCTGTTGAAAGGTGAAGTCTGCATCCCCATAAAGTTGGTCAGCAGCAGGAAGCATGAAGTGCTCTAAAACTTCCTGGTAGACGGCTGCATTGACCCTGGACCTCAGGAAACAGAGTGGGCCAACACCGGCAGATGACATGGCACCCCACACCATCACTGACGGTGGAAACTTTACACTGGACCTCATGCAACGTGGATTCTGTGCTTCTCCGCTCTTCCTCCAGACTCTGGGTCCTTGATTTCCAAAGGAAATGCAGAACTTGCTTTCATCAGAAAACATAACTTTGGACCACTCAGCATCAGTCCAGTCCTTTTTGTCCTTGGCCCAGGCGAGACGCTTCTTGCGCTGTTTCTTGTTCAAGAGTGGCTTGACACACGGAATGCGACACCTGAATCCCATGTCTTTCATGAGTCTCCTCGTGGTGGTTCTTGAAGCGCTGACTCCAGCTGCAGTCCACTCTTTGTGGATCTCCCCCACATTTTTGAATGGGTTTGTCGTCACAATTCTCTGCAGGGTGCGGTTATCCCTAGAGCTTGTACACTTTTTTCTACCACATTTTTTCCGTCCCTTCGCCTGTCTGTTAATGTGCTTGGACACAGAGCTCTGCGAACAGCCAGCTTCTTTAGCAATCACCTTTTGTGTCTTGCCCTCCTTGTGCAAGGTGTCAATGATTGTCTTTTGGACAGCTGTTAAGTCAGAAGTCTTCCCCATGATTGTGGTGCCTTCAAAACAAGACTGAGGGACCTTTTAAAGGCCTTTGCAGGTGTTTTGAGTAAATCAGCTGATTAGAGTGGCAGCAGGTGTCTTCTATATTCAGCCTTTTCAGAATATTCTAATTTTTTGAGATACCAAATTTGGAGTTTTCATTAGTTGTCACTTATGAATATCAAATTTAAATGTAATGAACATTGGAAATACATTGGTCTGTGTGCATTGTATGAATATAATGTACATGTTTCACGTTTTGAATGGAATTACTGAAATATTTTCAACCTTTTGATGATATTCTAATTTACTGGCCAGCACCTGTATATCACCTTTATTTGTGCACAGAAAGGAGACATCTTATCAGGCAAATCCAAACCCCACTGTCACACACACACACACACACACACACACACACACACACACACACACACACACACACACACACACACACACACACACACACACACACACACACACACACACACACACACACACACAGTAGGGATGGACTCGCTGTCATTCCACTGATGATGGTGGAGGTCTGCATCCATGAAAATGTCTTGATGGACTTAGCTGTAAATAGTTACCACGCTAGGTAGGATGCAGCTTTCTCATTTCAAGCAGAACATTATTTTCACTTCCTGATAAAGAGAGCAAAGCCCCTTAGGTGTGTTCTTGCTGTGTCGTGTCTCTAAGTCCATGCTGTAGTTCTTTTTTAAAACACAGAGCTGTTTCGTTTACCTGTTTTCCCGCTACGCTACAGCATGGATTTAAAGCAAAGCCCGTTTAATTCCTCATGACTCACCTCTGATGTTCTGCATCACATCAGAATAAGCAGATATTGTATTCTATCCCTGGAAACGGGCTTCAAATTACATTTAAGGTGCAAGGCATTCAAAATGGGCCGTTTACGGGAACTTTTGTTTCTACCTAGCACAGCTCATGGGTTCATTAACACCACCAAAAATGACATAATTATCCTTTAAAGCTTCCAGTCATCCTGAAAGCCTGAGTCATTATATCAGAACATTTGCTTTTATTCTGTTCTATTTAGAGCTGTTTTTATTATTCAGTCAAGCTCTATGAAGTCATTTTGTTGTTTTTAGTCTGTTTTTATCCCAAAATAAACATTTGACTGTTTTTCTTTTTAATTTTTAGAACTATTTAGATTATTGAAACGGAAAGTATGGAAAGAAAACACAAATACTCTTTTTATTTTATGTTTCTGTGTCCTACCAGTCCCCGATAGCTACGAATAATAGAAATCCACACAAAACAAAAGCACTGTTCTAACGAGTACATTTTAAAATTGGATCTTTATGATGGACTTCACTCCTTAGGGCAGCACGTGGCTTAGTGTTCTGTTTGGCAGCCAGCCGGGCCCGTTAAGCTTAATGTATGCTGACTCAAGCCAGAGTCTGGTTGTCCAATCTCCTCCCAGGTGAGCAGGGCATGGCGGGTCCTTGCTGAGGACGACGTTCTGTGGTTCAGGATGTGCCAGAGGGAGGGGTACCATCAGGATGCCAGCGTGTCTGACTCCCCCTGCTGGAAGAGCACCCTGCGAGACTACAGACACTCGGCCAGAACGGTTCGCTCCAACTGGAAGGTGGGCTTGAGTTGTCCTTAAGTGGAATTGTGCTCAAATCTCAAACGCCTGAGGGTTTAATTATAAGTCCGTAGCTGTCTTTGTTTGCCTAGAATCGGGTGGGATCCGTCAGGCAGCTGCAGTTCGAGCTGGGGAAGGTGCTGTGTGACGTCAGCTCGTGCGACGGCTTCGTCTTGGCTGGGTGAGTTTCAAGGACGGGCGGATTACGTCTGACGTCTTCTGTGTGTTAATGTTGGAAGCAACACTTATCCTGAGATCATCTCCATGGATTTTACTGTCACTGTAAATAATTATAGTTTGATTGCTTTTGTGATTTATGGCAAAGCAGCTAATTAAAAACACGAGGCGTTACGCGTTTGGAACAGAGCAAATAAAGAGACAGAAAACTCTATGTATGCCATGATTGACGGAGACATTTTTAATTAGGTTTTTGGGGTTTTTCACTGATGAAAAGGTGGTTTGAACCTCACCAGTAACAGCACACAGACCTGAACATCCATATGATCTTAAAGAAAATGTGATTTATCAGCCCAAACCCCATCTTTCATTGATCCAGCGTCCAGTTTTCATTCCCGTGTGCCAGCTGCAGCGGCTTTTGGCTGCAGAGACTCGTTTTCCAGTCATTTGAGCTCAACCTTCAGGACTGATGAGGTCTTAAAAACGTCAGAATCTCATTGCAAATGTCTTTTTATGAACCTTTTCACCAACAGCACTTTATTTACACAGATCTCTGTGGTTATTCAGAAGTTAAAGAGTAAGTCACCCCCTACCAGATTCTTACTCCACTTCCTGTTTGAAAAATGCAACAAATGCTGTTGCCTAGCAGACCAAGAGGGCGGAGCCGCTAACAAATACACACACACACACACATACACACACAGGCTCACAACAACATTGTGACATCATATGGTACCAGCTAACGTTCTAGGGTACCTCTTAGTCAATAGCGAAGGCAGATTTAAATTCAAATGCAGTGCAGAGTTTTTACCTGACAACGGCACAACACTGACAGTTTTAGGCAGAAAATTAAAATTTTAACTAAAATGCACTAAAGTACAAAACTACTGACGACACGTGTCTGCAGCACGATTAGACACGCATTTATATAGTTTATCAGGAAAATAAAGTTGATTTGGGGGTGACTTGCTCTTTAAATTATCATCAGCAGCAGAAGGCAGCATCTCCGGGCATCCAGGGGTCAAGTTCAGCAGGAGTTTATTAGTTTTCTGCTTAAACTACAGTTCAGGGCAAGGAAAAAAAAATTATTCTATTTGCATTTTTTATTTATGTTGAACAAAATTGATGTGCAATTTACAAAAAAAGAAAAATAAACCCAAGAAAATTAAAAACAGTCACAGGTGTGTGTCTATAATGAATTAGTTTAGGATTTCCAGTATTTAGCAGCTTTGCAGCAGCTTTTGTTGGTGGTAAAGTTTATGAAATACCTTTTGTAATGACCTGCAGGGAAACCCAGTAGTTTTAACACAGCAGCGATCCATTTTGGTCCCCGCTGCGTCCGGACTAGCCGCTACCTCATCAGTCCTGTCAGATGTAAACTGTTTCTCCTGCATAAATCTCTCCAGGGTTAGAATATAACCAGCTATAGCATTTATTCAAAAACACTTCAGATTGTCTAGAATGTCCCTTTAACTGAACCAAAAGCAGCCGCTAACTAACCGGGACGAGACAGTGATAGATCGTCGGAGACCTCAAAGACTCAATAGGCCGCCCTTAAGGAGCGCAGCAGGGTCTCCCGGGACAGACGTGACTAGATTCCCATTAGTCCTGCTGGATCCCAGTGGAGAGGAGTGTATGTTTGTATGGTTTTAAATGAGCAGACACACCGTACCAAAACATTCCAGACATTAGATAAGGCGTCTTACACAACAATGAACTAAACACGCTTAAACAGCTTCATGCATTTAACAAATTTACAACGTCAATACTTTCCCCATTATTGGTCTTTATGGTTTAATTCAGTTATTGGAAAGTACTTGAGTTTGTTTATCTGGAAAAGAATCAATGGCAGTTAGGAGTTAGTCAAGGGTGATTGGATTGGGTCGTAGGAAGGAAGGCGGTGGAATGTGATCTGGCACCTAGAAGACAGCAGGAGGAGCACTCTCTTTAACAGAACACTCGTCACACACACAGGAAGAAGGCCGGATCTGCTCAGCCTCGCACGGCGGCGGCTGCTTTAGTCTGAGAGCAAAGTTTTCCCTACGCAAAAGTTTCTGATGCGCTTCTTGGATGAGATTCAGCGTTGTCTTCCTGTTGCTAGCTGGCATCGTGGTTCTGATCCAATTAATCCTAAAGTGTGCACTTCTGTTCTTTACTTCCTGCCAAGCTCTGCAGACACACACACACACACACGCACGCACGCACGCACGCACGCACACACACACACACACACACACACACACACACACACACACACACACACAGGCAGATGCGTGCATGCATGCTTCGTGTCAAACATGCTGTTGGTGTGTGACACGTGGCGGCTCCAAGGCGGATTCCTGCTCACACATGATCGTATCTGTGGAGGTGGCGGGTCGTCCCCCGCGGTGAGAGCTAATCAGCTGGGGTGAGGAAATAAGGGGGAGTTTTAGAACAGTGGTCTTTTCAGTGAGAGGGATGCTCACGTTAGTAGAGAAAAACAAGCTTTGTTTTTGGTTGATGTTAGATTTGGTTTTTAAACAAACCCTGAAAGGTTTGATAGGAGTTCCTGAAAAAGCTGTTGGAGTATGAAGCTTTTTCAGTAAGTTCATTTCAAAAGTCCAGCCCCCTTTCTCCTGACTTACCCCCAAAGCTGCGTCTCTATGAGAAAGTGAACTATTTGTTCCAGAGGGTCCCGTTTTACATTTTTGATGTTATGGCACCTTTTCTGCCTTAATTCCCAACGCAATGCGCCATCGTAGCCGTAGAATCAGATCATAATCCAGTTATTAAGAATGGGTCATTCACAATGAATGGATTTATTGGTTGCCATAATTCTTTTTTTAATTTGTTCATTTCAGACACAACAAAATACATATATAAAACAAAGTGCACAAAAACAAGCAACAAAAATGACCTGAAAAGGAGCGGGACGAAGAAAACTTATTAAATCCCACCCCTATACTCACTCATCAACTAAAAAACAATAAGCTTCCCGCAGATATAACTGTATACGCTCATCGTAGCAAACCAAACCACAATAATATTCAAGCAGCAATATCGATGGCAAAAACTGCTCTAGAAAACATCCGTTACACCACCTGTGAGAGACATTTTAGGATTCTCCATAATCTTAGAACAGATGCTCTTTCCCAGGACTACTTTTAACCCTTTGATGCATAATGGTCACTACAGTGGACAGGTACTCAAAATTGTTATTTATTTATTTTTGCTATTAAGCACAGCTGTTGAAGACTTTATTGCATGTGAGCCCCTCCATTTGGACTTCAGTAAGGCAAGCCAACATATTTCATGTTCAGAATGCATGCTGTCCACTGAGGTGGACATGTAATAAAGTATTTGTAAATTAACAAAATGTCACAAAAAATATTTGTCGAAATTTGTTTAATTCACACCTAAAGATGAATGAAAAAATTGTTTAAAAAATCCTGGTTGAAGATCTCATAATTCATGCATCAGAGGGTTAAAGTTGGATCTTTAGGATCAATTTGTGGTATTTAATCATATGTAACTTAAAAACAACATATTTCTGCCTCAGAAGCAAACGTTTTTCAAAAGAGGCACAAAAAAAATAAATCCAGGTAACAAACATTTAAACTCTAACCCCGGCTTTCCACCGGAGCCGTCAGCAGCCGTCAGCAGCACGAGTCGGCCGCGTCTCAGGAGCAGCATCTCTGCTGAAACCTCTGAAACGGGTCAAGTTCGACATTTTTGGGGAAGGAAAGACAGGAAATCGGACGCGGAAACGGAGCAAAGCTCCCGAGATTTTCAGAATAAAGAAACGTACTGCCTTCCGGTTGCTTTACTTTAAAAAAAAAGTTACTAACTGTGCGTCCCCGTGAGAAGTTATCACCTAGCTAGCGGTCTCCTTTGTTTTTCAGGTCCGTATTGGTGATTATAAAACGGACAGAGCATAAAACACAAACCATGTTGTAGTTTTCTCCTGCTTGTTGTTGTGTTTACTGATGAAGTCACTCGTGTGACTTCGTGCTCTGTCGGTGACAGCTGCTCCCCTGCTGCTTCGCGTCTCGTGGGAAGGGCCAAGCAGCAGCTTACGCCAGCAAGACGTGCTGCTGCAGTAACGTGCTGCTGACGGCTCCCGTGGAAAGAAGGGGTAACGCACCAAAGTTTTAGGGAAGCACCTGTCATGTGGAGCGACGCGTTTGCCATTTTCCCGCCACGATGCTCAAAAGGTCAAGTCACGATGTTAGAAAACAAATAAGTCAGAGAAACGTTTGAGAGGTTCAACTATTTACATTTGTTTTTAAAACATTTCTGCTGTTGTTTGTCTCTAAGGTACACATCGGGCGACGTGAGGCTTTGGGATACGCTCCACTGGGACTCGGCGGCATCCTACCTGAAGACCAACAGTCTGTCGGCTAATACAAACCCCAGACCACACGCTAGTCACGTCCAGGTGAACAGCACGGTGGCTGCTGCTGCTTACGAAGATGGTGAGACGGGATCTGGAATGATTATCACATCACTAGGAGTCAGAGTAGACTGCTGACGGGAGTGACGGCAGAGGTGGATCAGTAAACGTGTCATGTTTGGGTCTAGGCTGTGTAGACCTGTGGAGCACAGAGACAGGAGGAGAGCCCATCCATCATTACCAGGTCCCAGGAAGGATCCAGGCTTTGGCTCTGAGTCCAGACACTCCCGCCCTGGTGTCGGCTACGGGATCAGACGTCCGGCTCGACTGCGCTACTGACTGTGGCTACTGGAGGACCGCCTGCCAGGTCCATCTATCCAAAACTGTGAGTGAGACTTTCTGTGGCTTCATTTGTCGAAAACACTTAGATGATGGATTGTTTTACTAGATATTATCCACTTCCTGTTTCCCAATTTTCTCAATAAACTAACTGCAAAACCGTGTTCAATAACATCAGTTAAAATCCACCAAATGAGTCCAGCCCTTTGATCAACGACAAATATCGATGACTAGCTTGAATTCTACCTTTAAGTCTTTTGCACTGCAGGTGGAGAGCCTGGTTCTGGTCCCAGACAGGCCCAAGCAGTCACCGCTGATGGTTTTAGCAGCAGGAGAAGACGTCCACCTGTTGAACCCCCGAGAGGAGCAGCCACAGACGCTCCACTCCGTCTACGGTCACCCTGTCACCTGTCTGGATGCCTCCAACCTGCTCGCTGCCTTTGGGGTGAAGCGTACAGGCTGGGCCATGCATGACGGCGGCAACAAGGTCAGATTATTGATTTTAATAAATGTTAACGTGCTGGTTTTAAATGTGTAAAAAACGGTTAATTTGACAAAAACAGATCAATAATTGTTGTGAAAGTTGAGCTGAGTCACCAGCTTGCTGCAGATGTAATTCCTGGTTAGGAATGGGCTTTTATTTTCATGCTCTCAGGCTCTCAGTTTGCAGGATCCTGCCACAGAGGTGGTTAGATTATTAGGTGCATTTGGATGCTGCACGGCTTTAGATTATTTATGTACTGATACTGGAACACTCACATATCTGCACAGATGAGAACAAAAACGTGTACAATCATATTAAACAAGATGTTTTAAACTATATTTATATTTCTGCTGAACTTTAATCATAAAACATTATTTCTACTATCAGCTGAGGCTAGACCGGTTTCATTGTTCATGTTATCAACACGCAGAGCTCCATTATTCCTATTACCTTACAGTTTTGTTGTTTGTATGTTGATGAAAGTTATGGAGCCGTGTCAAGGTTGTGTGTGTGTGTGTGTGTGTGTGTGTGTGTGTGTGTGTGTGTGTGTGTGTGTGTGTTAATATGACTGTTGGCAACAATCCGGACCAACCTGCAACCCGTTCTTCTGGATTGTAGTTTTAAAAGCACGCTAGCTACCTCGGTCCCGCTAATGGAAACGCTGGTTTCCGTTAGCGGGACCGAGGTCACACGTGTTCCCAGCAGGTGCGTGATTAAACGCTTCAGTAAAAACGAAACACAAGAGCTGCTGGTTCCGTTCATCCTGAAGTAAAAGCAGCGAGACTGAAGTTTTGGCTTTTGGCCGTTTAATTCAACACTCGTTTTCTCCATCCTGCTAAGCGAATTAAACTCTTATTGTGAAAAGGTGCATCATATTTTTCACGTTGCCACATGTCAAGTCTTTTATTTTTTAATTTTGGAGGCGGTGAAACCAGTTTTCTCCACCTGTGTGGTCACGTGATCACCTTTAGATCCTGTAGAGGATTTGTTTACATTTGAAATGGCAGCCAGCCTTCCCTGGACTCTGCTACTAATTACCACAACCGTTAAGTTAACTTTTCTCGTGTGTTGTTTCTGAAGCAGCTTCTGTTTGTTTCTAATAATATCATGTTTCTAAGGCCCCCGCGCTGCTAATTGACTCTTAAAGCTTTACTTAGAGCAACGAGACACATCTGCTGGGATCAGGAGGCGATACTCCAGAGTCCTCACTGTCTCAGGTTTTACTTCAGCTTCACATTCTGTGTTTTGATATATTTATTTAAGTTTTATTATTTTGGTGTGTATTACAGCGTACTAGATTTTAAAGTGATACATTAATGAAACTAATGAAACTTAGAATTTTTTATTAATTTATATGAACTTCCTTTTCTTCTTCTGAGTATTTACAGTGTTTCCATTTGGAGGAATAAAATGTGAAGATTAGAAGTAAAGGAAATACATTTTACCACAGTAACACAATCTGAGTAACGGGGAAAAATGTAAAATTCACATTCATGTAATATGAATTTAAAGAGCAAGTCATCAAATCAACTTTTTTTCCTGATAAACTATATAAATGTGTGTCTAATCGTGCTGCAGACACGTGTCGTCAGTAGTTTTGTACTTTAGTGCATTTTAGTTAAAATTTTAATTTTCTGCCTAAAACTGTCAGTGTTGTGCCGTTGTCAGGTAAAAACTCGGCACTGCATTTGAATTTAAATCTGCCATCGCTATTGGCTAAGAGGTACCCTAGAACGTTAGCTGGTACCATATGATGTCACAATGTCGTTGTGAGCCTGTGTGTGTTAGCGGCTCCGCCCTCTCAGTCTGTTAGGCAACAGCATTTGTTGCATTTTTCAAACAGGAAGTGGAGTAATACTCTGGTAGGGGGTGACTTGCTCTTTAAAAAAACAACAAAAAATACAGAAAATCAGAAGAAAAACATGTACTTGTTTTCACATAGAAAAAAAAACATAAAGCGACATTTTATTAGATTTTGTGTCTCGGTTGTTTGTGTCACTTTTATATTTTTGTGTATATTAGTGCAAAAATATAAAAGTACACGATTATACATAAACATTTCTGAAATTTTGTCCCACAAGTGCTTGAATTTATTTCACAACCTTATTTTTTATTGTACATTTTAATCTTCATATACAAATCTTCAAGCTAAATAAAGGCCAGTTATAAAATAAAGTCTAAATATTTAAATTCACAGATGAGTTTGTTGCATCAGTATTCTTCTGCAGATGTTTCAGCACAATTTCAGCTGATTTAATTGTAAGAATAATACTTGTTATGAGCAAATATGGTAAAGAAGTCCTTTAGAAAATACAAAATAGAAACAGCACCATCTGAAGGCATCTGGATGAAACATCAGTTACTTTTCAACCCTCCCCCACCCATGACACAAATGAAAGTGAAAGATTGAAACGCTGTGTGGATCAGACGAAGCAACACCATGAGGAGACTAGTACGTTATTGAGTTTTTTTATATTTTTCTACAAGAAGAAATGGCCGAGAAACTCGCTCTTGTTGAAGATTATCTGAGCTGCTTCGTTTGTTCAGAGACTTTCAGAGATCCTGTGTCTCTGAGCTGCAACCACAGCTTCTGTTCAAGCTGCCTGCAGAAGTTCTGGAAACAAGCTAACAACAGAAACTGTCCTGTTTGTAAAAGAAGGTCTTCTAAGGACATCGTAGTGAATTTTGGACTGAAGCAACTTGCTGACTCTTTTGCTGGGAGGCAGAAATCTGGATCATCTGAGACAGAAAAAGGAGAGAAGACGTTGCAGGTGGTGTGCAGCAAACATCAGGAAGAGCCTAAACTGTTCTGTGAAGACGAGCAGAGAGCTGTGTGTCCTGTCTGTGACTTTTCTCTCCACCAGAGTCACAAAGTGGTTCCTGTAGAACAAGCAGTCCGTGAGCTGAAGGAGCAGCTGGAATCGGACTTAAAGTCTCTGCAGGACAAGAGGAACAAATACAAACAAGTGGAGGAAACATACGATGATGTGATTCAACACTCCAAGAAGCAGCTGGTGTCCACAGAGAGACAGATCAGAGCAGAGTTCAACAAGCTCCACCAGTTCCTGAAAGAGGAAGAGGAGTCCAGACTGGCAGCTCTGAGGGAGGAAGAGGAGCAGAAGGAGAAGACTATCAGCAGAGAGATGAAGAGGATTCAGCAGCAGATCTCCTCTCTGTCAGACAGCATCTCTGCTGTTGAAGACCAGCTGCAGAAAGACAACGTGGCGTTCCTCAGCAGCTATAAAGACACTCGGACCAGAACCAGAACCCAGAGCTCAGTGTCAGATCCACAGCTGGTCTCAGGAGCTCTGATAGATGTGGCCAAACACCTGGGCAACCTGTCCTTCAGAGTCTGGGAGAAGATGAAGGACAAGGTCCACTTCAGTCCTGTCACCCTGGACCCAAACACTGCCCACCCCGGGCTCTATGTGTCTGATGATCTGACCCGTGTGAGACATGGAGACACATGGCAGCAGCTTCCTGATAATCCAGAGAGAAACACTAAGTATACAAATGTTTTTGGTTCTGAGGGCTTCAGCTCAGGGAGACACAGCTGGGAGGTGGAGGTGGGAGATCATCCTTTCTGGAGTGTTGGTTTGGTTAAAGAGACAGTGGACAGGAAGGGAGGGCTAAAAGCTTTACCAGAATATGGGATCTGGTGTTTATGGCATGTTGGTGGAAAATACGTTAATGGTTCTGGTCAGATCATCTCAGTGAAGAAGAATCTCCAGAGGATCAGAGTCCAGCTGGACTACGACAGAGGGGACGTGTCCTTCTACGACTCTGAAGACATGTCTCACCTCTGCACTCACAGAGACACTTTCACTGAGAAACTTTTCCCTTTTTTCCGTGTTTTTCCAGCTGGAGCTGCTAAAACCTCTGAGCTCAAAATCTGTAAAACGGAGATGATGGTGATGTCCGACTGATTGTTTTTAGATATTCTGAAGTGATTATTTATTTCTACAGCAGTTTTTCTTTGGTCCTCATATTATAAAATTTTGTCTTTTAAAGAAATAAAAAGCAAAATCCAGTCTTTACAAACTGAAATCCTTAAACAAAATCAATGTTTTTATTTTTGAGAAAAAGCATAAATGTAATTTTCACAACACAAAACATGAATTTTGATCCAAATTGAAATCAAAACCATGATTTATGGATAATTTCTAATGTTTTGATCATTTTTATTTCTGCTGATTCCAACTTTGTAATCCTGAATGTAAAAATAAAATGTTTTACAGCTGATCCATCATTAATTCTTCACTGTCTGAAAATCTGCTTTTTAAGCTTCGTTTATTGTTTGTGTTCCAGTTAATTTCACTGTTAACTGTTATTTTAAAAGTCACGTCCTGCAAAGTCCCACATGCCAAAAAATACGCTTTTTATTTAAAACATGTATTTAAGTAATATGTTCTGATAAATTTTGGAACTATGTTTATGTATTTAGCAGACGCTTTTGTCCAAAGCGACTTACAAGTGATAATCGGCATGTTGCCCTTGAGGCTAACAACAACAATAACAACAACAACTTGACATCAATCATGGAGAGGAGGGAACAAGGAGTGGACAGTAGAGAGGGGGGGCGGGTGCTAGTTTAGAAGATGCTCTCTGAAGAGCAGGGTCTTCAGGAGTTTCTTGAAAATAGAAAAGGAAGCCGCTGTTCTGGTAGTGCTTGGAAGGTCATTCCACATTTGTGGAACGATGCATGAGAAGAGTCTGGATGGTCCTGAGCGTGGTGTAGGCACTGCTAGCCGACCATCCTGTGATGACCGGAGCGGCCGGGCCGAGACGTAAGCCTTTGCAAGAGGATTCAGGTAGATGGGAGCCGTACCATCTCGGACTTTGTATGCTAATGTTAGCTATTTGAATTTGATGCGTGCTGCTAGCGGTAGCCAGTGGAGCTCAATGAACAGAGGGGTGACGTGTGCTCTTTTTGGCTGGTTGAAGACCAGACGCGACGCTGCGTTCTGGACCATTTGAAGAGGTCTCACAGTACAGCCTGGAAGACCAGTTAGAAGGACGTTGCAGTAATCGAGGCGGGAGATGACAGTAGATTGCACCAGGAGCTGGGTGGCATGTTGTGTTAGGTATGGTCTGATCTTTCGTATGTTGTACAGCGCAAAGCGGCATGAACGAGCAACAGAGGCAACGTGATCTTTAAAGGTCAGGTGTTTATCAATCACAACACCCAGATTTCGAACCGCCTTTGAAGGAGCCAGAGATAGGAAGCCATTTTGAATTGAGATATTGTGCTGCATGGATGGTTTTGCTGGGATGACAAGTAGTTCAGTTTTAGAGAGGTTGAGTTGGAGATGGTGGGATTTCATCCATTTTGATATGTCAGAGAGACAGTTTGATATTCGTGCTGAGACAGTGTGGTCGTCCGGTGGAAATGACAGATAGAGCTGGGTGTCGTCTGCATAGCAGTGGTAGGAGAAGCCATGTGATTGAATGATCTCACCCAGTGAGGTGGTGTTTATGGCAAAGAGAAGAAGAACTAATGTTTCAGTGGCTGCCAGTCAACTTCAGGGTTCATCTCAAGATCCTGGTTCTGGTCTATAGGGCCTTACATGGACAAGCACCATCTTACATTGGTGATCTTCTTAGTCCCTACACCCCCAGCAGGTCCCTGAGGTCCAGTGATCAAAGCCTACTGGTTGTGCAGCACCAGGCTAAAGGTCAAAGGTGACAGATCATCTGCTGCTGTGGCCCCCATACTCTGGACCTCTCTCCCCCTGAGCCTGAGACCAGTGGACTCAGTGGTCTCCTTTAAAAAGCAGCTGAAGACTCACTTGTTCAAGCTGGCTTTTGTATGACCTTCTTCACCTCTCTCTCTTTATTCTGCTCTCCCCACCTATTCCACCTTCCTCAGGATTCACTGATTTCCCTCTTTCCTGTTCACTCTCTCTCTTCTTATTGTGATTTTTATCTTGAGAGGCGCTATAGAAATGATATTTTCTTCTTCTAAATATTATGTGACACTTTGTGAATGTCACTAAAAACATAAATGTTTGTTATTAACGTTATAAATGTGACTGTATAATTCTTGCTGTCAGTATTTGCAAGATATTGGTTGATATTTGGGTCTGTGCTGGTTAGGCTTAAATGAATCATGAGCAAGTCAATTTGGGCTTTTTATACTAGGAATCTGGAATTGTTTTAGTGATTATCTTGTTTCTTTCTCTTTCCTGTTTGCTTTCGTCCTGATTGTGCCCTGAGCAATTTTATGACTGAATAAATAAACAAATAAAATCAACAATAATTGAAAAATCATCTTAAATAATAAAGATCTCAATTTCAGTCACAATAATTGTCTTTTTCCTTTTTGCCATAATCGAACAGCTCTAGTTTTATCAACTTTTGTTTATAAATTAGGCAAATCCGAACTTGACGCGTTAAAAGAGCATTACCAAAATACTTCAGAAGTCACGCCTTCAGTCAGATACTGAGAGGTTCATTCTCAGTGTGAAGTGGAAATGGTTTTAACAGTTATGTGAAGCAAAAATGGTAAACATTAATAATAATCATACTATAATGTGTTGGATAGATTAACATTAAATCATCAAACACTAATCTGGTGTAGTTTAAGATCTGAAATGAATCATCGCATGAGAAATATTCATTTTAACACGTCATTGATTAAAACACAGATTACTGAAACACTTTAGGATTTAACCCTCCCACTGTCTTTATGGGTGACCCCGCCAGGAAAGGTGGCCATTGAGCAGGATTGATGGTTTATCACTTGAGGTCCATGTGGCAGGGGTGAGGTGGTGCTCACTCCTCATCCCTGCCATGTGGACCCAAGGGACAAACCATCAATCCTGCTCAGTGGTCACCTTTCCTGGCGGGGTCACACCCGTTAGGACAGTGGGAGGGTTAAACATCTTGTTCATTCAACACATTTGATCATATCAACCTATAAAGCTGTAAAGTCATTTATGATTCAAGGGAGATGAACTTTATTCAGTGTGAACGTGCAGAACGCCTCGTCTTCCGCATGACTTCTAGCCTGGCAAGCCAGACTAAATAAATGTATTATGTAGTCTGGCCACGCTCCATTGACGGCTCTCGGTTGTGGGGCGGGTTCTACCGTTGTCTTTCAAATGATCTCCACATTCCACTGGACAATGAATGTGACATACTCATGTTTCACTCTGTTGCATCATCCCACCCACCAGGCATATGGAGTGCCCTGATTGGCCCACAAAGCAGATAAAGCTCTGTGATTTGTTCACTTAGCAGATGGAGCACTATGATTGGCCCACCATTATGGACCAATCACAGCTCTTTATGTGTTTGAAACCCCTCTAGAGAGCTGTGATTGGCTAGCCAGAGTCCTGGTAGGAGCTGTGGAGGTTCCAATGGAGCATGCCTAGACCAAACTTTGCAAAGCAAGAATTTGGTCTAGTTCACTAGGCTACATGACTTTGTCTTCCAGCCCAGATAAGGTAGCAAGTATACGATTTCTCCTTCATCATGTGACAAGGTCTTGTGCAGTGCTTTTTTGCTTGGAGGCCCGCCAGGTGGGATGTCTGTGCCGGCAAATGAAAAGTGAATTTCTGGTCATTTTTTATGTGAATACTAGGGTTGTCACGGTGTGAAGATTTAACCTCACGGTTATTGTGACCAAAATTACCACGGTTTTCGGTATTATCGCGGTATTTTTTTTAAACGTGCAACATTTTCACACAATTAAATAAACCCTGTATGTCAGGAAATATTGTCTTCAGTTTGTGTCTAAATGTTGCCTAAAATGTGTTATTTTGTAATGATGTTGTTTATTTGTTTACATTTTTCCCCTTTAGTCTTTAAAATACCAATATTTACCCATAACTTCTTATTTTATGTCTGTTTGATGTCATCATTTTAAAAGTATTAGATCAGATGATACTCAGTACTCAAGTAGCCTTCTAATCAGATACTTTTTTACCCTTACTTGAGTAATAAACCCTATATCAGGAAAATATCATCCTCGGTTTGTGTCCTTCCAGTGAGCTTTGCAGATGTGGGAAAATGTCATCAGGCAGTAATCGTTGTTAAATTCATAATTATTCTCGGAGAGAGACCAACTCTTATCTGCCCCTGGGAGCCCCGTAATGCATAGCGTCATTTCAACATGGCGGTGTCCGCGACACGGTTTATATGCAGGTAGCGGCACTGCGGCTGCTTTATAAATGATAAATGAGCCGCATTTGTATAGCGCCTCTGAGAGTAAGGACTCCAAAGCGCTTTACACTACAGTGTGTCATTCATCCATTCACACACTGGTGGGGATGAGCTACGATGTAGCCACAGCTGCCCTGGGGCGCACTGACAGAGGCAAGGCTGCCGAGCACAGATGCCACCGGTCCCTCCGACCACCACCATCAGGCAAGGTGGGTTAAGTGTCTTGCCCAAGGACACAACAGCAGAATTCTCTGTCCGGAGCCGGGATCGAACCTGCAACCTTCCGATTACTGGACAACGCGCTCAACCTGCTGCCCCACATATAGCGACTCGTTGCATTCTCCCTCAACCCAAATCCTCGGATCACGCATTTTAGCTAAAACGCTAACGTTAGCTTGCCTTGCGTTGACTGTAGAGTTGTGGGTGATGGTCACGCAGATGTGTCATGAGATTTGAAGCGTTGCTGCCTTTCACACACACTTTTTCTGCACGTGCTGCAAACAGGATAGCCGTCTTCTATCAGCTGTCCCTCGGCATTCTTCAGATATCCAAAAGATGCCCGTACTTCCCACTTTGCCTTCTTTGAGGGATAATAAATGTCCTGAGCGCTGCCGTCTCCTCCTTTGGCCATTATTTCAGCTTTAGCTTCAACAAAGTTTTGGTTGTAAACAACAAAGCGCGCATGTGCCGCCGGCAACTTCAGCAGATGATACGGTGGCTGGTAAGTGTCACCGCGCCTACACCGCAGCCACGGTAAACCACCGAGATAATATAGTTTTTTTTTAAACAAGACGGTTATTATTATTGTCAACTTTTTTACCGGGGTTTACCGCTACACCGGTTACCGTGACAACCCTAGTGAATACATGACCATTGGGTACGCCACGTAAGTAGAAAAATTCAAATACATAATTACATGGAATAAAAATTCAATGCCATCAATTCTATGGATAAAAAAGTCATAATCTGGTGAAACTGTTTTTCTTCCATACTCAGTGAATTTTTTTCTCTTTCTTCCAAAGATGAATTTTGGTCATGTGACCCAGATTATAACTGCTTTTTATTGGTTAATGTTAAACC